TTACTTCAGGTGGCGATGACATTGGTGAGGCCCCTTTTTTTGGCCAATGGCATCAATTCTTTTTTTCTAACATTAAATAATACGCTTCGAGACAAAACATTCCTCGGCCAATGACATGACGAAAATGTTATTGTTAAATTACACCCCCCTATCCCCCAGATATAAACTCATGACACTGAACGCAGTTTTGCTCCGAAGAGCCAAAATGGTCCGTATATCAACAGAATAGTAGTTAGCGCAGTGCGCTATGAACCCGGCCACCCGAGTTAGATTCTCGCTCACGATCAATAACAGTGACCAATATTTCCACCCTTCCAGGGCCACCCCTAGGTCGACTCAGCCGAGTACTTAGTGCAGTGTGTAAATATCAGCACTGGGGAGACAAAGGTGGTCGGGTGTTGTGTTGGTCACACTACCACTTTGTGTGCCATGCTGGCCTTAATATGCTCACTAACAGCACTTGCCCCACCAGTCTGTTAAAGGCTTTATGGGGAATCTTTGTCTTTATGCACATCAAATAATCTTGAAACGACTCAATTTGTGGCCTAAATGAACAACGGAGCAGAGGCCGTTTCTGGTGGCCCTGACGCAATGCTAGAGATCCCACCGCAAATCTCTCCGAACACCCCCTCCACACTCCTCCCTCCGATTACCTCTTCGATGTGTATTCGGGTCGTACCACATATTTGTCCGGAATGACGTCCGACGTTTCGCTCCCCGTGTTTGGAGAGCTTTTTAATGCCTTTATTATTTTTCATCATTTTGGATACTGGTAAAAAGGTCCCATAGATATGCCAGACAACTCGCACGACTAACCAAAACGACATCAGATAGTTATACCGGCCAACCGCGAAAACATATGCATTAGAAATATATCTTCACTTCATTGGTGAAGAGTACTTTTATGAAAAATGTTCGTGAAATATCGACAAATATTGGCAATACGATAGTGACACACACTCCGAGATGCAGCATCAGTATTCACTGGGTGAATGCAAATTCTGATTTTAACTTTAGCTGTTTTGCCACCCAATGTTGGCAGAAGTTGCCAACCACATGAGACCAACCCCTCGTCTCTTTCACATGGCTTCTCTGTGCGGGACTGGGCAAAGCACTTCACTCACCGGTGTGTGTTGACCTCTTGATCACGTATGTATGTTGAACTTCTTTTTGCACGATGCTTAACCAACCGTGCTAATCGGAGGTCCGGGATCAGCGGTCAACACTCCCGTCAGTCGCTCAAGCTTTGATAATGATGAGTTCTACTTTTGTGGCAAGTTGGTGGATACAAGGCTGGGGGGGGGGGGGGGAGGCCATGGGGGTGATTTCCCTCCTCCCCCCAACCCCCATCGACATGCCCCCAGATTGTTTTTAGATATATTTAAATTTGGCAGAGAAAATTAAATGCATGTTTGTGTTTGTATGAATGTAAGGCTCTGTTTAAAAAGCTTGAACATTTCGGGACTGCTCCCCACCTTGATAAGTTTTGAGAACCGCTTCTGACAGTGAGCATCTCACGTATAGACTTGTTACCTGTCATTGGAATGTGTAATTTCCACCACCAACTGGAGAGAATTGGTCTTAGTGGTAGTAGTAGTAGCAGTCGCTAAGCCATCAGTGGGGTCGTTTCTCAAGTTCCTCCAAGTGTCGCCACGATCCATCGCCTGTAGCCAGACCTTCTCGATGATAGGCACTAACTATTTTTATTTTACCATGTATGGCCCACTGAGCTATATAGCTCTATTTCAGAAGCGACCTGGCCGTCACAAATGATAGCTCAACGAAGTGGCTTATCGCGTGGAAATGTATAGCAGCCGAATACTCTAAACGCGTGTTTATAAATGTGAAGAAAAAAACCGGATGACCCAGAGAAAATCTACACGACCACGGGGAGAACACACAAACTCCAAATATACAGGTGGCATGGTCGGGATCGAACTCACGACCTTCTGTATAACTCGCGAGGGAGATAACATCTGGCACGGTCCGCATCATCGAGCACCTCCGATGATTACGGTTGACTATGTACGGCACGAAACATACAACATACATACAACATACATGATGATCCGAGAGCAGCATGAGCGTGGGTGTCCCCCCTCGGGCGGTAGAGCCCACGGTCGCTCGGATTTTGTTCCGGATCTATTTTCGACGCAAGGTGAGAGCCTGCCTGGTTGCATCATGGGGGGCACACAAACTCACCCACTCAGCTTGTGCCTACGAGTTAAGATCTCGATCTTTGTTTGTGTTTTTTTTGGCGGGGGGGGGGGGGGGTGCGTTCGCCCGTTAATGAGAGACTCCTCTCCTCGTGTTTGCGATGTGCAGTCCAAGTTGTTGGTTCGTCTCATTGACGATGTGAGTCACGGCCGCACTATAAACACTCACGCGGCTCCAGGCTGTCTCGGTGCAGCCAATGTTGCACCCCAAGTTCATGAGATTATTGGGTGATGCTGCTGCTGCTGCGTTGGCAGTGATACACAATCGCAGTTGACATAAAATACTCAACACATAATATCGGGGCTTTAAATGAGAGAAAATATATAATAGGTGACGTTTCGGGCATTGAGCCTTCTTCATAGCACATACATAGAGGCCATAAACACAGAATGTATAAGAGTTGGAGACTACACATTATACCAAAGGGCCTGAGAATAATTACATTTGTTCTGCTAAAAGATACCTACGCTACAGATGAAGTTCCAGTTGCTGCTGTAACCACTCATCCAACCACCCAACTCACTCACCCACCCGTCCACTCAAACCCTCACTCACTCACCCACCCGCCCACCCAAACCCTCACTCACTCACCCACCCGCCCACCCAAACCCTCACTCACTCACCCACCCGTCCACTCAAACCCTCACTCACCCACTCACCCGTCCACCCAAACCCTCACTCACTCACCCGCACACTCAAACCCTCACTCACTCACCCACCCGCCCACTCAAACCCTCACTCACTCACTCACCCGTCCACTCAAACCCTCACTCACTCACCCACCCGCCCACCAAAACCCTCACTCACCCACTCACCCGTCCACCCAAACCCTCACTCACTCACCCACCCGCCCACCCAAACCCTCACTCACCCACTCACCCGTCCACCCAAACCCTCACTCACTCACCCACCCACCCGCCCACCCAAACCCTCACTCACTCACCCACCCGTCCACTCAAACCCTCACCCACTCACCCGCACACCCAAACCCTCACTCACTCACCCACCCGTCCACTCAAACCCTCACTCACTCACTCACCCACCCGTCCACTCAAACCCTCACTCACTCACCCACCCGCCCACTCAAACCCTCACTCACTCACTCACCCGCACACCCAAACCCTCACTCACTCACTCACCCGTCCACTCAAACCCTCATTCACTCACCCACCCACCCGCCCACCCAAACCCTCACTCACTCACCCACCCGCCCACCCAAACCCTCACTCACTCACCCACCCACCCGCCCACCCAAACCCTCACTCACCCACCTATCCATTCATAACTCACTACCTCACTCAGTGGCTCACTCATTAATCTACTCACCCATTAAAGGTACACACTAACCCACCCACTCCTTCACCCACTTGCACACTCATTAATCCAATCACCTACTCACTCACCCATCCACACACTTAACCACATCTTCACTTGTAATCACTTTTGTTCCTTCACCCTCAGTTTCGACATGCAGATAATAATTTCATGTCGACTTGTAACGTGGTGCACAGTGAGGAATAACCACAGCCAAGCGCGAAGGCAGCCACAAGCTCTGCGGTCCTCTATATATAAAGGTGTTAAAATGCCAATTTGAGAGAATACACACACACTCACTATGCGTTGCTGTGGAGCATTCTGGATTCAAGGAAATATAAACAACCTTCCACATAAATACGTGAACTCGCCCATCGAGTTTTCCAGACCAATATTCATTATCAAGGAGGATTTGCTTAAGCAAGCAAACGTTGCCCCAGTTTCGACTTCATTGGTCTCATCAGAAGAATCAGGCTTGTTGAAGTTGCTGTATTACCTGCTGTTGATATTGGCAAGAGCCCTCCATATAAACTCTGGCGCCTTGTTTAAAACAACTTTGTATTTTACCAGGTAAGGCCCACTGAGCTTCATAGCTATTTTTCAGAAGCGACCTGGCCACAGATGGTAGCTCAATCAAGTGGCTTATCATGTGGAAATGCATAGCAGCCAAATTCTCTAAAACGTACGTTGATTTAAATTCGGAGGGAATAACCGGAGGACCAGGATAAAAAAATCCACACGGCCACGGGAAGCGAGATATGCAGACTCCAATTTTACAGGTATCGGGGTGGGGATCGAACCCACTACCTCCTTGCATAGCAGGCGATGTAGTTAACATCTCGCCACCGTGGCACAACATTGTACGCAGACGTTATTGGCAAAAGCCCTCGACAAAAGCTCTGGGACCCCGTACGGATAGTGGGAATATTCGCTGATTATAGGAAGAGTGGGGAGACGGTGAGAGGGAGCCGTTGTTTTCCCGCGTTGTGATTGGGCGACGATGCCGATTCTACTTCGAGTCAATTAAATTGTGGAGCACAACGGATCTTGAGAGATGCTAAAGCCCACAGACCCAGACTTTTTTTTTATAAAAAAAATGAGATATATAAATAATAATGCATTAGACTTACACAGAGCTGTACACAGAATCCATAAAAAAAGTAAACATAAAAACGTGTATCTATTACATTTTGCAATAATAATAATAGTAAAATGATGACAAGAGCCTGAATATGAAGTTAGGTGAACACCTTCTGAAATCGGAATGTTTGTTAAACCAGTTTGATTTGTTCAGAAGGCCATTTGCTATGAATAGGCGACCTTGTGTCCCCCATGCACGTTGGGTCCGGCTCGAGCAATAATCGATCACTCGAAGTCGAGTGATCTCTTCCTGGCGACGATTCCAGCGGAATCGAGCCGATTGGCTTATAAGGGCGGCGCTTCCGCTCGCGGGTCAGGGGTCGCGGGCTGCCAGTGGAGTTCATTGAGTTGAGTGGCGGCGGCGGTGGCGCTGCTGCTGCTGCTCCAGTTACTGTAGTTGTGTCTGTAGTTGTGGCGGTGACTGCTGCTGCTGCTGCTGCGGGCTTGTCGTGTGCGGACGCCGTTTCATCTCACTCGTGGCGCGGCCGCTCGATTCGTCTCGCACCTCGAACCCCCCTGCGAGCGCCCCGGCACCGTTTCAAGCCGAGCAGCCCGCCGACCCGGGCGCTCCGTTCGTCGCAGGCCCACTAGGCGAGACCGAGGCTTGGGCCTAGTCGGGGCGAGGAGAGCTGAAGGCGGAGACGACGACGAGGAGGAGACCATGGTGAGGGCGTCGAGCCGCACACGAGCACCTACACTTGGACTTGTGCGTTACGTACGCACACAGGCAGTGGTGACACAACACCGGCAGACGCGCGGAGGGTCACTGACACGCCACTGATTCGCACATACACTGACAGAACGTTGATGCACACAGCCAACGGTACACGCACAGGCAATGCCAATACGGACACACAGGCACACTGACGCCACAAAAACAACTTTGACACAACACTGATTCACACTCACAGGCACTGACACAATGCTGATACACGGCCACTGACAGCACTGATGAACACACACACACACACTGACCCAAATGTGAACACATGAGGCCATGGATTGGTGTAAACACAACCGGCTCGAGTGTAGAACACACGTACGTGTAGTACTGTCTTCACACACACGCGGGCACGGAGAAATACAGCACACGCACTGACACAGACGCATGTGACATGCAGCGACACGTGTGTACTCGCGCTGCCTCACGCACACGAGTGTAACATACAATGGATATGCAACGCGCTTTGTTGATACGCGTGTCAACGCGTTTTCTTATCGCCTGCCATATGTGACACACGAACTACTGCTACTTGGGTACGACATGCACACTATTGCGACACACCGGGACTAATGCATAGCGCTGTTTCGCAACGCAGTCGTAATAGAAGCCACATGTACACACGAGAACACATCCATGCAACACGCACGAATACAGTACCAGACGTACATCACGCGAACGAATTAATCACACTGACACATGCACGCACCAACTCGTCACACACTGACACAGTACACACTTTTTATTGCATTCTGGCCACAAGTATTGTGGTTAATGCAGACATGATTCCTTGTAAAAGGTTTCAGTTTGGTGTTTTAACATCTTAACACCTGTTTTGTTGCCAAATAAAAGAGGTAATATTTAAAAACATACTTTTTAAACACGCTTTAATGAAATGTACCGTACGAGTAATGGCAAAACTCCACGACTCCAGGAAGTGGCCCCGAGGCTTGCCATAACGTAAGGGACCGTAGTGATTAACAGCCAACGTCAGTTGAGCGTGGACAATTGGACCCAAGCCGAAACATAACATATAAAAATAATGTTCAAAAATAGTTTTTTTGATAGAATATAGTATTATCATCGGTATGACATAAGTATGCCAAGTTTGCAGTCGATACCACATTGGGAAGTGGGTTAAAATTGAGTTACAAGATTTGAGGATACAACAACAACAGACAGTGAGTTAAATAAAAGCGTGTAATAATAATGAAAAAGGGGAAAACCTATTCTGAGTACACACTCGTATAAAACACATTCACCAACTTTGTCACACACTGACACAGCACACACTCATATAAAACACATTCACCAACTCGTCACACTGACACAGCACACACTCATATAAAACACATTCACCAACTCGTCACACTGACACAGCACACACTCATATAAAACACATTCACCAACTCGTCACACACTGACACAGTATACACTCATATAAAACACATTCACCAACTTTGTCACACACAGACACAGCACACACTCATATAAAACACATTCACCAACTCGTCACACTGACACAGCACACACTCATATAAAACACATTCACCAACTTTGTCACACACTGACACAGCACACACTCATATAAAACACATTCACCAACTCGTCACACTGACACAGCACACACTCATATAAAACACATTCACCAACTCGTCACACAGTACACACTCATATAAAACACATTCACCAACTTTGTCACACACTGACACAGCACACACTCATATAAAACACATTCACCAACTCATCACACACAGACACAGCACACACTCATATAAACACATTCACCAACTCGTCACACAGTACACACTCATATAAAACACATTCACCAACTTTGTCACACACTGACACAGTACACACTCGTATAAAACACATTCACCAACTCATCACACACTGACACAGCACACACTATTATAAAACACATTCACCAACTCATCACACACAGACACAGTACACACTCATATAAAACACATTCACCAACTTTGTCACACACTGACACAGCACACACTCATATAAAACACATTCACCAACTCATCACACACAGACACAGCACACACTCATATAAAACACATTCACCAACTTTGTCACACACTGACACAGTACACACTCATATAAAACACATTCACCAACTCATCACACACAGACACAGCACACACTCATATAAAACACATTCACCAACTTTGTCACACACTGACACAGCACACACTCATATAAAACACATTCACCAACTCATCACACACAGACACAGTACACACTCATATAAAACACATTCACCAACTCATCACACACTGACACCGTACACACATATAAAACGCATTCACCAACTCATCACACACAGACACAGCACACACTCATATAAAACACATTCACCAACTTTGTCACACACTGACACAGCACACACTCATATAAAACACATTCACCAACTCATTACACACAGACACAGTACACACTCATATAAAACACATTCACCAACTCATCACACACTGACACAGTACACACATAAAACGCATTCACCAACTCATCACACACAGACACAGCACACACTCATATAAAACACATTCACCAACTTTGTCACACACTGACACAGCACACACTCATATAAAACACATTCACCAATTTTGTCACACACTGACACAGCACACACTCATATAAAACACATTCACCAACTTTGTCACACACTGACACAGCACACACTCATATAAAACACATTCACCAACTCGTCACACTGACACAGCACACACTCATATAAAACACATTCACCAACTTTGTCACACACTGACACAGCACACACTCATATAAAACACATTCACCAACTCGTCACACTGACACAGCACACACTCATATTAAACACATTCACCAACTTTGTCACACACTGACACAGCACACACTCATATAAAACACATTCACCAACTCGTCACACACGGACACAGCACACACTCATATAAAACACATTCACCAACTTTGTCACACACTGACACAGCACACACTCATATAAAACACATTCACCAACTTTGTCACACACTGACACAGCACACACTCATATAAAACACATTCACCAACTCGTCACACTGACACAGCACACACTCATATAAAACACATTCACCAACTTTGTCACACACTGACACAGCACACACTCATATAAAACACATTCACCAACTCGTCACACTGACACAGCACACACTCATATTAAACACATTCACCAACTTTGTCACACACTGACACAGCACACACTCATATAAAACACATTCACCAACTCGTCACACACGGACACAGCACACACTCATATAAAACACATTCACCAACTTTGTCACACACTGACACAGCACACACTCATATAAAACACATTCACCAACTCGTCACACACTGACAGAGCACACACTCATATAAAACACATTCACCAACTCATCACACACAGACGGTTAACACTCATATAAAACACATTCACCAACTCGTCACACACTGACACAGCACACACGATCGCTACACACAAAATGCACACACTAACTCATCACACTGACACAGGACACACTAATACTATACACAATACAAAAACTAATTCGTACACACTCGCACAACGCACGCTAATGCTACATGAACACAGACATGCATACATCACAGCAATACTCTACGCATACATGTAGAACACACACTAGTACCACGTACACACACAAAACATATCACAGACATACAACACACTGATATCATGAAACAGTTACCGACAAATAAACCAACTATTTTTAATTTAATTACACGTACAAATAATGTATTTACGTAATGCACAAACACAATGCAGCACTAATCGCAATAAAGACCCTCAATACTATCATTAATAATACTTTGGCCTTACAAGAAACATTTTTATAAGCGGCGACGTTTCGGGCAATGACCTTAAACAGAGGGGCCAGAGATGGAGTTTATAAGCATGCAATAAACATAATGGGGCCTGATGAGAATGACATCCAAACACGTCTAATGACCAGTTTTTAGATTTCCATATGAATAGTGACACTAATCGTAACTTTGAGTACCACCCAAAAATTATCAAACATCTAACGTATTACTCATGAAACTGAAGAAAACATTTAGTTTGCACTCTTCATTCGCTGTGGACATGATTGAGGCTCGGACAACTGAACGATATGTAGGTGTGCCGCATAACATTTCTCTGGCAGTAAACTTGTACAATGCATAGCCGATGAGTTTAAAAATAACGAGGGCTTAAAAGTGTCACTGACAGAAAACAAATGTATCGTGTTTTGATCGATGGGCCTCCACGAAATACAGAAGGCTAGCTTGTTGTGAAAGGTCAAGATACTTCTTTCCTTTTCGTGACGGTGAAAATCCCAAACTCTTTAAATTTGCATCAACAAACAACACAGACGCTGCCACAGGGCAGTTCCTGGTATGCATAAACTACCTTAAATTGTTTAAAATTTCTCTCGGTGATAGATGCCAAGAAACCAACTCTGTCAGAAGTGAGAACTCGAGTAATTGATTGTTGTCCCTGTGTTTGCTCCGTGACGGTAACATGTCATTGGGTCTTCACGTGAAATCTAGCTGAGTGGCGAGATGCGCGCTTCACCGAGCGTTCCAAGTCTCAAGGCTCCCTTTTTTGGCTTACACATTGGGATGTTTGCCCAATTTAATGAGTTTTACATCATGAAAGTATCGGTCGAGAAAGCCTACGTGTTAAACTGATCTTGGATGATGCTCAAGTAAATGGAAAGTTAACTCATGAGGGCATAACCTCAAATATCCTGATATAATGGCAGAAACCCACTTGCTGTAATTGACTGCATTTAAGATTAAGTCATTGCCATCCATTACATTTATTCAAAGTACTGGATCATAGGCTTGCCCTGACATGCCTCGAATATGTGTGTTCTAAATGTCAGGTGAATTGGCACTTTGCTTGCAACACTCACTCCATCATAGATTCAATCATTCATGTTTTCGGGTCACGATTTCATTGACGAATTGTATTTTTTTCACACCAGTTTTTGCCAACTTAATTGCACCATTGGTCATTTATCAAGGCTCGTTTATACAGTTTTAGTAGCCTAAACGTACAAATGTTTTTTCATTTCTATAAAATTCGCGTAAACGTTAGTCGCATCTTACGTGCGCAATTTAATGCATGTATTGTGAGTCTTAAGAATATTTTTTATTAGTGAATTGTTGCTTAGATATATGCCTCGTGGTAAGAAATGAAACCACTCTGTACTGCCTACAGCAGGGGTGGGGAACGTCCGGCCCGTGGGCCGTATAAGGCCCGCAGAATCATTTAGTCTGGCCCTGTCAAGGCAACCGCAGGCAGGACTCGAAATTCAATAAATCTAGGAGCAAACCTGGAAAAGTAGTTGCGAGTAGCAGCATCATCAATACCAGCTAACATCACACACCTCACCAAAGAGAAGCAGTTCCAGCCCATCACATTAGGGGTGAGTTAATTCAATGTTTGACAAAATATAACAGGCACATTTTTAAGTTGATAATTTTGTATGGCCCGTGAATGATGTTATGAATATCCAAATGGCCCTTGGCAGAAAAAGGTTCCCCACCCCTGGCCTATAGGAATGCGTTCATATTGTGAACACCGATTGAAGTGGCATCACTCCGAGGGCTGTACCCCGAGGGTGATAATGCGAGACTGAAGCGGCAACCGTAATGGGCATTGCTTCGTCTTGTGTGTTCACACCTGGGCGGCGGGCTGTTGGCACGGTGGGAGCACTTGTGCCCCACAATAAGAAGACCATGGGTTCAATTCCCGACTTGGGTGCTGTTCTCTGTAGAGTGTGTATGTTCACCCCTTGTTCTGCATAGGTTTCCTCCCATAGAAAAAAACCCACTCAACTAAACATTTTTTTTATTTTACCAGGTAAGGCTGACTGACCTTTATAACTCTTTTTCAGAAGTAATCTGGCCACAAATGATATGCCAATGATGTGGCTTATCCTGTGGAAATATTTAGCAGCCAAATACTCTGAACGCAATGTAATTGTTGTTGCATTACTTGCAAATTACCCAATTAGGATTGAACATAGAACCATCAATCCTGTACTTCACAATCTTGACTGCATCCTCCTGAAAAATAATCTTAAGAGTGAGGCTTTGCTGTGTGAACAATAGTTATACATAATAGCAACCCAATTGGGATGTAACATTATTGAAAGAAACCATAAAAATGTGCAACATGCACAGCAGTGTTCGAGTGACATACTTCAATTATATATATAAATATATAATTTATATTTCTTATGTTATCGTTCCAAATAATGATTCCATGTTAATTATTCAACATGCAAAGTGTTTCCCTGCTTAATCAAGCAACGTTGTTGGTGTCCTCTGTTAATGGGCCATGGTGGAAGTTCCAGATTGCCACTGTTGGGGGTCTGTGGCTCCTGAGGAAGACTGCTTTTGATTCGCGTAATGTGGCACTTATTTTATCGGCTCCAGAGAGATGATGGCTTTGTTGACCACTGAACTGATATTTTATCTTGAAACGTCTGACTGTAGGTCAAGCAAGTTGGGCGATCTAACCTTTGGAATATTTACTATGCGAGGTTTTAATGAAGGTCTCGTGCATTATTAAATAACTAATGTATGCATGTACTGTATGTTGAACTTCTTTCACACCGTACGTAGCCAACCGTGCTAATCGGAGGTGCGGAATTAGACATCCGTTTGAAAAGTGTGGGTCAAATGTTGGGAACCTATTCCTTACATACTTACGTTGTTTTAAAGCAAAAATCTTGGGTGACCTTCAACAGCAACATAGCCGAAGCTTTGGAAATAATCACACCCAAGATGTTGGCAATCACCATGTTGCAATGGTTTAGAGGGATTGTAACTCGTGTGGTAAAATCTTCGTACTATATTGTGTGTTACCGACATGGCTCAAACTGCTGGCTAGTTGTTTAATAAAATATGGCACGATTATAGACACCCTGTATTCATTACTAATATAATTCTGAATTCTGGATTATTTAATAGCAGAGCTCAATAACAAACTCGCGTGGCCTTTCAGCCTTCTGCTGTCATATCTCAGTCATTGCTTACTCTACTAAGTCTCCGTGCATACGTGCTTGCACTGCACGCAGCATGAAGTTGAGAAGTAACTGAAATCGAAGCCAGCTCGTAAGATGAGAGCGGGATTTACGTACTCCGCTTAGTTTCACTGACGGAGCTCCCTCAGTCACGCAGTAACCCACCTTCTATCAAGTGTTTAGCTTTGGGAGAATCCTGATCCCAAGGAACAGCAACTTAATCGGGCCGCTTCAGGTGACAGCAGCCTTTGATTCCCCTGAACCTGAGAAACATCAGTTAAACGCATGACTTTCTGGGGCTGACTATCGTGTCAGGGCATCGGGCCAGTATTTTGTCCCGGTCTGCATTCAAGCCCCTGGCCATGTGTCTCCTCAGGAGGGTGTCGGCTGGCTGGCTATGTCAGGGCACTGAATGCTACTGAATTTCTTGGGTTCAAACCCAGGGGTGTGTGTGTCTCAAATGGCCGATAGCATATGGGGACACTGAGTCAGCATCTGTGTGGGTTTAGGTTCAAGCCAGGAGGTTTGTGTGTGTGTCTCGGGTGGCTGATTAATTAACTTGTGTGAAAGAGATCATGAAAGAGCAAATTTGTGGAAGATTGTTGTGATTGATAACAATGTTTGTCCGATGTAATGTACACATTACCAGTGGCTGGAATTGCAAAGTTGTTTTACTTTGTCTCACCATAAGCTTTTGAATTTAAATGTTAAATATTTTATTTAATTGTTAACCTTTACAAGGAATGGAATCTGTTTCATACTATAATGGTATAGCATCCATGAGGGGGTTTCACTTTACATTGTTTGCGTCTTGCTGAAAATGAATATGTTCGTGTCGTCATGCGAACGGCACTGTCCACACTTTAGGGTTATACAGAGGATATGTTTTCTTAGTTTGTATGTGAGAATGTGTGTACTGTTACATAGTGTAATGGTTAGCATGCTGAGGTACGAACCCGGCGACCCGAGTTTGATTCCTGCTTACGGCCAACACCAATGACTATGATTTTCACCGGTCCTGGGCCTCCGCTAGGTCAACTCAGCCTCATATGAGTACCTGGTATAGTGTGTAAACATTGCCACTAGGAAGACAAAGGCGGTCGTGGTGCTGGCCACCCATCCCCTCGTGGACTGTACTGGCCTTCATCGGTGCTCGCTAACAGCACTTGCCCCAACAGTCTGTTGAGGCTACACGGGTGATCTTTGACCATGTACTGTTGCGTCTTTATGTTTGGGGTGCAACAGTTTTCTGCCCTCGTGAATCGCTGAAATGTCACGACTCGAGGTGGTCTTTGGGTCACGTGAACTCATTTCACACCCAATCCAGTGCATGTATCGTAGTCTGATGAATCAATTAATAGATTCCTAAATCTACCTTCACACTCATAGCATAATGTATTTATCTATATATGTATGTATGTGTCCAGACTGGTGTGTGTACTATTGTACGTTTATGCATTATATCGTGTGAGTGTGTATTTTATTGTGTATGAATTCTGTTGTGTTTTCGTGTGTTCTGTTGTGTGTGTGTACTAGTGTGTATGTATTATATTGTGTGCTTATATATTCTATTGTGTATGGTGTGCATGTTCTGTGTGTGCATATTCTGTTTAGTGTGTGTTTATATATATCTATGTACTCTTGCCTTTTGACAAAATCTCCCTGCGTGCGTAAAATTTAATTAGATCGTCGAAACTAAGTAGTGCACTTGGATAATACTTGGATGGGGGGCGACTTGGAAATCCCGTGTGTTGTAAATTAGCAAGGTGGCCAGGAAATGGAAATGCAACAAGGAATTCTTGAATCCATCTGTGTGGAGCTTTGAATGTACGTCAGGATTCTCAGGGCACTCCAGATTCCTCCTACATGCCAAACACTCACGAATGCAACTGTCAGAACATGCCATTACAAGTAAAGTACTTAGACTCAACGAAGCTTTCCTGCTTAAAAGAAAGGCACTTATTATTTAATGTTATTTTGTACGTGTGTACATGAGTTGGGAGCTTTCGTGCAGTGGCTAGCGCACCGCTCTACAGTTAAGTTTATTTTTAACTACCCTTTGAGCCAAGTAGCTCTTCAATTGGGCTTCATTGGCAACCCGAGTTCAATTCCCGCTCACGGCTAACACCAGTGACGACTATCTTAATCGGTCCTGGGCCTCCTCTAGGTCGACTCGTCCTTAAATGAGTACCTGGTGTGGTGTGTAAGCATCGGCACTCTGCGGGCAAAGGCGGCCGGGCGCTAACAACACTCTTGCTCTAAAGCTACATGGGGGATCTTTGTGTACTACTCTTACGTGCTATTATTTGTGTGTGTGTGTGCAGGATGAGGGCAGCCCAGAGTCACTGCTGGACCTGTGCCTCGGCTCCTTGTGCTGGAACCTTGAGAGCATGTGCACCACGGCTCCCGACGGCTTGCTGTGCCTGCGGGAGCACGTCGTGTTCCCGCAGGAGCTCGCCGACCGGCTGCTGAAGAAGCTCGCCCTGGCCGGTAGTCGCAGCGCATTTACTCGGCCGCCCCTGCCCCTCTCCCACGCAGAGACTGCCATTGAGTTTGTGTGTGTGTGCCCTCGTGTGCACGTGTGTGTAAGTATGTACGGGCGTGGTGTTGGCCACCCACCCCCTCGTGTGCAATGCTGGCCTTCATAGTTACTCATTAACAGCACTTACCCCAACTGTCTGTTAAGGCTATGCAGGGGATTTTATCTTTGTCTTTGGAGCAGCAGTGCAGTGGTTCGCACATTACGCTACAAACCTGACGACTCGAGTTTGATTCCCGCTCATGACTAAGAATAGTGGTGAATATTTGAACTGGTCCTGGACCTCCCTTCGGTCAGCTCATGCTTAAATTAGTATTTGGTGCAGTGTGTATACATCAGCATTGGGGAGACAAAGATGGCCAGCTGTGGTGCTGACCACGCCACACCCTCGTGCACCGTGTTGCCCTTAATAGGTGCTCGCTAACAGCACCTGACCCAGCAGTGTGTAAGGCTATGTGGGGGATCTTTGTTTTTCTGGTGATTATTTATTAAGCGAATGCAATGTCCCGAAGCCAAGCGGTTGCTTCTGGTCCTGCTGTGTGGAGGGTGAGTAGGCTTCCACTAAGTTTGTGGATTGGGCAGACTTCTAGGATATGGTGCATAGGGGGCTCGCTCTGATGTCCCATCGGTGGAGGGTAGTGAGGCATGGGCCGTGACCAGTCCTGAACCTGTTGAGGGTGGACCACTTCATCCTGGTGAGGTTGAAACCGGGGAACTGTTGTGTGGAGGTAGTAGTGAGGTCCTTGTTTTCCAGGTCTCGTGACTACCTGGGGAGAAGTGATGTAGTGGTTATCGTTAAATTATGATCCCAGTGACCGGGGATAAATTCCTGGCCATGCACAATGAGTGGCTTTTGTGGTCTGGTCCTATTCTGGGACTTCCATGAGCCACACATATCATTCACAAACGTCAGCGCTTGAGAGACAAAGGTAGTCGGGCCGTGGTGCTTGACCACACCACCTCCCGGTGTGCTGCTGCTGCCGAGTGGGGTGCTGGTTAATGGCACTCCTTACTACGGCTCATTGGGCCACACGTGAGGAGCTGTGTTCACAGCGAGCAATGTGCAAGCACAGATGAACTACGCATCATTACCGCCTTTATTAACACGGCATGATGACAGCGGAATGAAAGAGCTAACATCAGGATTGTAGGGCGGTGTCGCCCCGCCCCCCCCTCCGCTGCTCTCTTCTGCATTGAAGAAGAAGCCTTTGCATGAAATGTTAGCTTGCTGTGCGTGTCTCCGTCACTTGGCAGTGTCAGTGCGGAGGGTGTTAATTTGTTATCTATTTCTCTGCACCCCTGCCAGTGGGGCTATTTTTGAATCGTGCTCTGAAACCATTTGGCACGATCCCAGCCTGGGCATGCGCCTCTTTCTCCCCACCGTCCCTCGAGCCGTCTCCCCTGTGCTCCAAGGACAATTTGATTTGTAATGACGTGTTATATTAACCACAAATCATGGGCTGTCTACACAAGTGTGTCTTCTCCAGTTTGTGTAGGTGACCCTCTGCTGTAATATCTATATATATAAAATCGTTCATGTCTGTCTGTCTGTGTGTGTGTGTGTGGACTTTGGCCCATACGCACTTTCATTGGACGGCGGTTGCCCCTGGCAACGGCTAGCCACGCCTTCGCCGCTTTCATTGGACCTGGCAACGGCTAGCCACGCCTTCGCCAAGGGCTGCAGTTTCATTGGACGGCGGTTGCCCCTGCCAACGGCTAGCCACGCCTTCGCCACTTTCATAAGCTCCGTATTTAATTAAATAATAGCCATTACACAGTATTGTTGGAGCGCTAGGGGGGGGGGAAGGAACGCCACCCGTACCCTGCCTCTTCCAAGCCGACAATTTTAGGCGAGGCCGCAGGCTTTGCACGCTACTAGGCCTCGACACCCACCACGCCACTCTGAGGTAAATTCATCAAAGTTTTTCCTACTCTTCACTACACCCCCACCACAATGTGTGCTATTAATATTACTTTTAAACCCAACGCGCCAACAATCGATTACTTTAATGTTCACTGTACAAATACTCATTAAGCTGGGTGAGCGTACTGCCAGTCTATCATGTACACTGTAGCCTGCTTATTAAGCTCGGTGAGCGTACTGCCACTCTATCATGTACACTCTAGCCTGCTTATGAAGCTGAGTGCGTGTACTGGCAGTCTATAATGTGGACTCTTGCCTGGTTATTATAATCGATTCTTTATATGTTCTTTGTACAAACAGTCATTAAGCTGCTTGAGCGACCCCAGTTCGATTCCAACTCACGCCCACCACCGCTGACGATTATTTGAAACGGACCTGGCCCTCCCCTAGGTCCACTCAGCCTCAAAAGCGTAACTGCTGTCGTGTGTGAACATCGTCACTGGGGAGACAAAGGCGGCGGGGCATCGTGGATCCAAGTCCCGGGCGAAGCCGGGTCATGTGTATGTGTGTTTGTGTTTATGTGTATGTCTGTGTGTCTCTATGTATGTGTGTATGTATGTGTATGTATGTGTTTGTGTGTATGTGTGTCTGTATGTATGTGGGTTTTTTTTGTCTTTATGTGTATGTCTGCGTGTCTCTATGTATGTGTGTATGTACGTGTGTGCATGTGTTTGTGTGTATGTATGTGTGTGTCTATGTATGTGTGTGTCTATGTATGTGTGTGTATGTGTGTGTATGTATGTGTGTTATGTGTCTGTCTGTGTCTGCATGTATGTGTGTGTGTATTGTGTATGTGTTTGTGTGCATGTATGTGTGTGTTTGTGTGTATGTGTATGTCTGTGTGTATGTGTTTGTGTGTATGTGTGTGTATGTATGTGTGTGTATGTGTTTGTATGTGTTTGTGTGTTTACGCTCGCATTACACAAATGTGTTGCTGGTCTAAGGCGTTCCTCGCACAGCATTGCCGCTTTATTATTTCAGTCGTTTACTGCCTTACGCACCCTGAAAGTCGTGTGTGTCTGCAGCAAGCGCGTGTATGTGTACCTATGGACGCGCGCGCGTGTGTTGTGTAGGGGGAACGGTAGTGTAGTGCTTAGCGTGCTGTCTGTGTCTGTGTGTGTGTGTGTCTGTCTGTGTCTGTCTGTGTGTGTCTGCGTGTGTCTGTGTGTGTGTCTGTGTGTGTGCGTGTGTGGTGTGTGGGGAGCGGTAGTGTAGTGCTTAGCGTGCTGTCTGTGTCTGTCTGTGTGTGTCTGCGTGTGTCTGTGTGTGTGTCTGTGCGTGTGTGGTGTGTGAGGAGCGGTGGGTGTAGTGCTTAACGCTACGCTGCGCTACCAACCCGGCGAACCCAGTTCCATTCCCGCTCACGGCCACCACCGGTGACGATTATTTGAACCTCCCCTAGGTCCACTCAGCCTCAAACGAGTAACTGGTGTGGCGTATTAACATCGGCACTTGGGAGACAAAGGCGGCTGGGCGTGGTAGATCCAAGTCCCGGGCGAAGCCGGGTCATGTGTATGTGTTTATGTGTATGTCTGTGTGTCTGTATGCATGTGTGTATGTATGTGTGTGTATGTGTTTGTGTGTATGTCTGTGTGTGTATGTATGTCGGTTTTGCCGCCGTGGTGGATCCAAGTCCCGGGCGAAGCCGGGTCATGTGTATGTGTTTATGTGTATGTCTGTGTGTCTGTATGCATGTGTGTATGTATGTGTGTGTATGTGTTTGTGTGTATGTCTGTGTGTGTATGTATGTCGGTTTTGCCGCCGTGGTGGATCCAAGTCCCGGGCGAAGCCGGGTCATGTGTATGTGTGTATGTGTTTATGTGTATGTCTGTGTGTCTGTATGCATGTGTGTATGTATGTGTGTGCATGTGTTTGTGTGTATGTATGTGTGTGTGTATGTATGTGGGTTTTTTTGTATGTGTTTATGTGTATGTCTGCGTGCCTGTATGTATGTGTGTATGTACGTCTGTGGATGTGTTTGTGTGTATGTATGTGTGTGTCTATGTATGTGTGTGTATGTGTTTCTGTGTTTGTATGTGTGTGTATGTATGTGTGTTATGTGTCTGTCTGTGTGTCTGCATGTATGTGTGTGTGTATTGTGTATGTGTTTGTGTGTGTTTGTGTGTTTACGCTCGCATTACACAAATGTATAATGCGGGTCTAAGGCGTTCCTTACACAGCATTGCCGCTTTATTATTTCAGTCGTTTACTGCCGTATGCACCCTGAAAGTCGTGTGTGTCTGCAGCAATGGACGCGCGCGCGTGTGTTGTGTAGGGGGAACGGTAGTGTAGTGCTTAGCGTGCTGCCTGTGTCTGTGTGTGTGTGTCTGTGTGTGTGTGTCTGTGTGTGTGTCTGTGTGTGTGCGTGTGTGTGTGCGTGTGTGGTGTGTGGGGAGCGGTAGTGTAGTGGTTAGCGTGCTGTCTGTGTGTGTGTTTCTGTCTGTGTGTGTCTGCGTGTGTCTGTGTGTGTGTCTGTGTGTGTGTCTGTGCGTGTGTGGTGTGTGAGGAGCGGTGGGTGTAGTGCTTAACGCTACGCTGCGCTACCAACCCGGCAAACCCAGTTCGATTCCCGCTCACGGCCACCACCGGTGACGATTATTTGAACCTCCCCTAGGTCGACTCTGCCTCAAACGAGTAACTTAACTACTGTAGCGTATTAACATCGCCACTGGGGAGACAAAGGCGGCCGGCCGTGGTAGATACAAGTCCCGGGCGAAGCCGGGTAGTACAGCTAGTTGTGTATGTATAAGTACGTATATGTGTGTGTGTGAACAATTCTCACTCTCGGCTCTCAGTGGTGAATATTTTAACCGTTTATGGTCTTTCCTGATGCAGACCAGCTGACGGACCACACGGTGGCGGTGTTCCGGAACACGCGTGCCCTGCGCGTGCGACGTGCGTGCGTGCGCTCGGCGCGCCTCTCGGCGCAGGCGTTCGAGCGGTCGCTGGCACGGCACCCGCTCGTGGAGCTGGACGCTCGCGGCGTCAACGCCGACATTACCGTCATGGACGTGGTGCGCGCGCTTACGGGCGCCCGCCGCGGCTACACCCAGCCTCCAGCGTACAACCAGGTACGACGATCACGTAGCTATAAAAATAAAACCAAAAATAAAATATTATTTTTTGAGTAAGGATTCCTGCAGTCACGAAAGCTTCAAATCAAGAGTGTGATATCACTCGCATACATCCAGACTTTCATATACAGCCAGGTACGGCGATCAGTGTGATATCACTCACATACACCCAGACTCCAGCGTACAAGCAGGTATGATGGCCAGTATGATATTACAGTAATTCTTCATTTAACGTGGTAGATGCGTTCCTGAAAATTGTGTTAAGCGAGGAATTACTGTACTGAATCACATTTGCACTCTAAAATCAGCCTGCAGTCATTCCATGGCAGGACAAAGAACTGAGATGAGGTTACGCCGCCGCGCACTGTATCCTTCCGCGAACTGTAACATTCGTCATCGACCGCTTGGAAACCGCGTTTTAACGGTGCGCATTTCCGCATTGTGCAAAAAGTGTTCCCGAATGGAAGAGCCGCAGTTTCATAGCGAAAACGCGTTGTGTGAAAACACATTTTTGAGCGAAGACCCGCCGTGCTCTGCATCCCCGTGCCTCCCCCCCCCCCCGCTTTCCACACTCTCAGACGCTGGAGCGCCTGGCTGTGGACGGCATGACGCTGTCGCTGGAGGAGCCCTACGAGCTGTGCCTGGGCTCACTGCGCGCGCTGCGCTGCCTCAGCGTACGCAACGTGCTCTTCTTCACGGAGGACTTGCGCGAGGTGGCACAGCTGCCCTGCCTCGAGTCGCTCGACATCTCCAACACGTGCGTCACGGAGCTGTGGCCGCTGAGCGCCTGCGCCCCGCGCCTGCGCTCCCTCTCCATGTACCACCTCAAGCGGTTGCGCATGACCACGTCGCAGGTGCGGGCGCGAGCACGTACGAGTACACACGCATGTGTGCACGCGCTCGACCACGCTATCAGGCACGAGCGTGCAGATGCACGCTATCGAGCACGCGAGCACACATGAGCGTGCAAACACACTCGCACAGTCAAATCACGATGGCACAAGCGAGTACATCCGAGCAACATGAGTATGTGAGCAGGCACTTGAGCACGCAAGCACACTCGCGCATGCGTGCACACTCACGTGCACACAAGTGAGAATACTTTTATGTGCGCATGCACGCACACGCACGCTTTAACCTGCCCAGGCATTTGCACGCACAAACATGGCCATAGAACAACAGCAGTGGCCGTACTCTACCAAGGCAGTTGCGTCACCGTGGTGCTTGAAGAGCAAGAGATTGATGTTTCACATTTTTAATTGCTATTCATAGATGATTCATTTTGCATCTGGCCAAGTAATGATCTGGTCAGATTTGCGCAAGCTTTTAATGATCATTGCTTCAGCTCACCGCTAGAACAACCCTCACAAGGAAGATGATGCAGTTGGATATGAAATTTTGCTTGAAATTACAAGAGGCATCTTCAGGAATGTCCAACAAGTTGGAATCCAATCCTTTGAATCGTAATTTCCACACAACTGTAAAGGCAGGCAACTCACTCGCGTGTGCACAGGGCGGCAGACAAAGGTGGGCTGAGAGGGAGGGCGGCAGACAAAGGTGGGCTGAGAGGGAGGGCGGCAGACAAAGGTGGGCTGAGAGGGAGGGCGGCAGACAAAGGCGGGCTGAGAGGGAGGGCGGCAGACAAAGGTGGGCTGAGAGGGAGGGCGGCAGACAAAGGCGGGCTGAGAGGGAGGGCGGCAGACAAAGGTGGGCTGAGAGGGAGGGCGGCAGACAAAGGTGGGCTGAGAGGGAGGGCGGCAGACAAAGGTGGGCTGAGAGGGAGGGCGGCAGACAAAGGTGGGCTGAGAGGGAGGGCGGCAGACAAAGGCGGGTTGAGAGGGAGTGCGGCAGACAAAGGTGGGCTGAGAGGGAGTGCGGCAGACAAAGGTGGGCTGAGAGGGAGGGCGGCAGACAAAGGTGGGCTGAGAGGGAGTGCGGCAGACAAAGGTGGGCTGAGAGGGAGGGCGGCAAACAGGTAGGCTGAGAGGGAGTGCGGCAGACAAAGGCGGGCTGAGAGGGAGTGCGGCAGACAAAGGTGGGCTGAGAGGGAGTGCGGCAAACAAAGGTAGGCTGAGAGGGAGTGCGGCAAACAAAGGTAGGCTGAGAGGGAGTGCGGCAGACAAAGGTGGGCTGAGAGGGAGTGCGGCAGACAAAGGTGGGCTGAGAGGGAGTGCGGCAGACAAAGGCGGGCTGAGAGGGAGGGCGGCAGACAAAGGTGGGTTGAGAGGGAGTGCGGCAGACAAAGGTGGGTTGAGAGGGAGTGCGGCAGACAAAGGTGGGCTGAGAGGGAGGGCGGCAGCAGCGCGAGGGGGCGACTTTCGTGCGCTCGCGATCCACGCCGCTCCCGTGCACCCGGGACGGTGCTCCTTGTCGGGTCGCGGTGCGCTACGGCCACCAATCTTCCAAACGTAGTCCCGCCAATCTCAAACAGCACTCCATTAAATTGATCACGAATACACAAAACCGCAATGTATTTAAAACCCGCGAACATTCGGGGTTTTCCATATCGTCTGCGGAAACCTGCGTGTTTATTTAAGTTGCGGGTTTTTTTAAAGAGCGATTTTGAGCGAGCGACGGGAGTTCACCGTGAGGGTGGCTTCCCTGGAGTTTGGACAACCGTGAAACTACCCGACATATGCGGACATAGAGCTTCAAAGCCCATCGGATTTCTCCAGGATTTAATGAAAGATTCCGATTTGTGAATACTGCAGGTGTTGGAGGTGCTGGAGGAACTGGCGGAGCTGAGGCACCTGGACATCTCGGACGACAAGCAGTTCACGTCGGACGTGGCGTCGCGCCTGCTGACGCGCACGCACGCGCTGCCGCACCTCGTCTCGCTCGACATGTCGGGCCGCGCCGGCATCACGGACGACGCGCTGCTCGCGTTCCGCAATGCGCACCCCGGCATGCACTTCCTGGGGCTGCTTGCCACCGACGCCGGATACGCGCCCTTCCTGTCTGGGGATGGCACGCTCAAGGTGTGCCATGCTCACGCGTTGTGATTCGCTCTCCCCTCTCGCTCCAGTGTGCCCGTTTACCTGTCTGGTTCTTTGTCTGGCTGTGTGTGTGTTAGACCGTTTTTCTGTCTATTTGTGTCTGGTTCTTTGTCTGTCTGGTTCTCTCTCTGCCTGTGTCTGGTTCTTTCTCTGCCTGCATCTTGTATATATGCGTGTCGATTTCGCCATCTATTTCTGTGTTTTTTCTGTCTGCCTTTGTGTCTCTGTGTCTCTTTGTCTGGGTGTCTGTTTCTCTCTTTGTGTGTTTCTCTGTCTGTCTGTGTGTGTAGCACCCCCAGTGGCAGCTATCCCTGTGCGGAACAAGGTTTACTTGCACCGACCCACAAGTGGGAAATAATCAGCCAGATGATTGCTATGTGCAATCGGAATTGAGTAATTTGTAATGTGCAATTCTATTTGAGTATTTTGTTCCGCTATCTGTTTCATTGTCTGCCTGTGTCTCTTACTGTCTTTCGGTGTCTGCATGTTTGTGTCTGTTTCTGCATCTCTCATGCTGTGTGTCAGTCATCGGGCTGAGCTTATCATTGTTTCTTTCAGTTGTGTTTCAGGGTCGTGGTCTGGCTGGTTTTTTTCAATGATGGGAGTGATTGGTTTTGTTTCGCCTTCAGGTGACGGGAGAAGCCAATGAAAACCAGATAACGGAAGCTCTACGCCGCTACGGGGACCGCGCATTCTTCATCAGGGAAGCGCTTTACCACCTTTTCAGTCGCACGCCAAACCTCAACCAACCTCGCCCAGACCTGCTCAAGGTGACCGCACAAAGACAAAGATCCCCCGTATAGCCTTTAGCATACTATTGGGGCAGACATTTTTAGCGAGCATCTAATGAGGGCCAGCACAGCACGTGGCCCGACCACCTTTGTCTCCCCAATGCTGATGTTGACATACGTCACCTGGTACTCATTTGAGGTTAAGTCGACTCTGGGGAGACCCAGGATGGGTTCACATATTCGCCACTGTTATTAGTCGTGAGCGGAGATTAAACTCAAGTTGCCAGCTTCGTAGCACAGTGCCCTAACCAGTACACTGCTGCTCCCCATATAAGAACAACAGTTGCCATTCACCACTTAGTGTTGGTTTCGTCACCATAGTGCTTGTGCCAGGCTAGGTGCACATTGAGGCCACGTGAAGTGTCGAAAGCTCACCGGCAGGAGTTCAGAGGACAGATCCAGGTTTCACGGGTTGACTGACTGAGATGACCGACAGATACACCAATTGCGCTCTCCACTGTCACACCTCACTGTTTTAGCCTCCCGGCGCTCTGCTTGTCATTGTGAGTGTCGCTCCTCCGCCCTCCACTGTTGTTGGAGGGCGACTGCCTCCAACTGCCCAGTAGAGTCCTTCACGAGCCTCCTCCATAGAGGCCGATCTGGACACCCCTGGTTCCAGTCATCGGCAAGTCCACTCATCTGTACATCCTCGTGTACCACATCAGCCCATTTCTTCTCCAGCCTGAGCCGCGCCTGTGCTGTGCTCCGCATATGTCGCGCACACCCAAGGCTAAAACTTCATGCCTAGGTTAACATTTCAGGCTTTAGGTCTTCATTACAATAACGACGTCAGTTTTTACAAACCAATGTTATTAAAAATAACATATTTTTAGGTTGGGCCACGTGATGATTCTGGTCAAGTTTCTGTTGTAAGACCCTCCACCACTTGACACAGCCAAACAAATTAAATCGGCACAGTAAAAATTTCCGCATTAAATGCTTGTACACGTGACAGTACGTTTTAAGTTGGCTATGTTTGGTGGTGGAGGGTTTTGCGACAAAAAATGTAGCCAGATCTGTACATGGCCTAACACAAAAATCAGTCATGACTTGTGGCATTTTGAATTGGTGCTTTGCAGCTGCTTCTCACGGGTGTCGGTGTCAATACAAACTCGGGGGGCCGACGGCGTAGCCGGGCACGGTGGTGCTCGTCCATTAGCCACCGTCTCGCCGGCACCGTCGGTGGATCAGGACGAGCTCACCATGTGCTTGAGCCTTACAGGATCATTCTAGATTTGAAGCTTTCGTGACTGCAAGGATTCATATTCTTGGGTTTTTTTCGGTAAAGTCACGTAGGTAAAAAATTTAAATTAATAAAAGTAAAATAAAAAAAATTTCACACGCTGGTTTCCTGCTTTAAGTTTTACCCACCAAGCAACATAGCAGGAGGCTGTTTCTTCCTGACCTGCTTTTTTGCTTTTACCATCTACATGGCAGGGGCTCGGTCCCATTAGCAGCAGTTGCACTTTAACAACTCTGGCACCCCCTCTCTCAGCCAGTCTACATAACAAAGGCTCAGTCCTTTGTTATGTAGACTAGCCGTAGTTTCAGCCGCACTAACCTTACCATAATAATATAAAGGGGGCCTGTCCTGGCTCCTCCCCCCTTAACCAGTATATATACGGGGTTGGATCTCTTGGAATTTCTCATTTACTTGATACAGCAAGCGTGCTGTGATGGTCCCATCTGAAGACGGAAGCTTGTGTTGCCTCCGAAACGTCGTATCATTAATTTTATTTTGATTTTACTTTTATTAATTTAAATTTTTTACCTACGTGACTTTACCGAAAAAACCCAAGAATCTGAATCCTTACAGGTTCAGTTTATCACCTTGAAGCGACGAGAGTTCTGACTTCTCCTCTGTCGGGATTTTAACGGCCTGCCTACCCACATTAGGATACCCTGTGGATGCCGCTTCCTCGCACGTGCAAAATTATGGACTCTTGCTGGAAAAAAAAGTTGCTATGCAGTTGTATGAAAGTTGCGGAGACGTCAACATTAACGTCCCCCATTCTTGTCCTGTGCATCAATGTTGCTTCCGGTACTGTTGTCAATGGGGACAATGAGCGACAAATTCCGAGTTGTCGCAACAATTCAGAAGCTGCGCTGTGACACTGGCACACGTGGCGATTTTAGTGCCATTTATCACTATGTGCTCTCTCACATGTGTAGGGGTTATTACGGGAGAAACGGCGGACAACAAACACAGGGCTGTCGGCACTCACATACACGGGGGGTCACACCGACGTCCGCATCAGTTATTGCCCACGCCCCCAGCCCTCGGAGGCGATCCCTATAAAAGGTGGAACCCAAAGAGCTCGAGGCAGTTCGACACGAAGCTGACCAGTGAAGATCCAAGACTCAGAGATTAGGCCCTGGGACTCCCCGGTCTCGCCGTCCTTATAAGGGCCGAGCCGGGTAAGCCAGTGGCGCGGCCCAAGAGCTTCCAGACCGCTGCCCTTATCAGGGCAAGGCTGGTTAGCTGGTGCCGAGATCTGTGCTTGCCAGGGCCAGATCAGTCAGCCTCCCGTAGCCCAGTAGAGGAGGACTGGGGGACAGGACAGAGGGCTTAGTACTAGGGTGGGTTTCCCATAGTACGGGTGAAGGGGCCGATACCCCTTCAACTATTGTATCTGTCCCGGAGTTAATAAACAGTGTGTCTCAACTTCCTCATCGTCTCCTCATCAACTTACTACACATGCACTGATAGATGTTGTATATTGTGTGCGTATTTGCGTGTGTGCATGTGGAGGGGGAGCATTTGTGTCGTGGTTAGCGCGCTACGCTTCTTATCTGGCGACACGAGTTTGATTCTTGCTCACGGCCAACACCAGTGACGATGATCTGAACCGGTCCTGGGAATCCCCTAGTTCGAGTCGGCCTCAAATGAGTACCCGGTACAGTGTGTAAACATTGCCACTCGGGAGTGGTGATGGCCAACCACCCTCTCGTGTGTTGGCTTTCATAGGTGCTCGCTAAAAGCACTGGCCCCAGAAGTCTGTTCAAAGTAAGAGTGTAGTGGTTCCAGCCATACCACCTCCTGATGTGCTGCTGCGCTAGCTTGAGTGGGTGCTGGCACTCCTTACTCGCAACTGCGTTCACAGCGGTGGCATTAAACGCTGCACGGGGGGGGGGGGGGTTCTCTGTTTGCCCCCGCGTGTGTGTACGCACCTCTCTGTGCGTACGTACAGCTGGTGGCGGACGGGATGCAGAGCCACAGCAAGAACCTGGCGGTGCAGATCGCGGCGAGCGCCTGCGTCTTCAACCTGAGCAAGCAGGAGCTGGCGGCCGCCATGCCCGTGCGCCTGCTGTCCCGCGTGGTCGCTCACACGCTCGCCGCCATGACGCAGTTCCCCAACCACCAGCAGGTAGGGCTACGGGTGGTATGTGTGTGACGATTATTTTAACCGGTCCTGGGCCTCCCCATGGTCGACTCGGCCTCAAAATGAGTACCTGGTGTGGTGTGTAAACATTGCCACTCGGGTGACAAAGGTGGCTGGGCGTGATGTTGGCCACCCACCTCCTCTTGTGCCATGCTGGCCTTCATAGGTGCTCGCTTAACAGCACTTGCTCCAACAGTCTCTTAAAGGCTATACGGGGGATCTTTGTCTTTGTGGGAGCAGTAGTGTAGTGGTTAGCGCGCTGCGCTTTGAACCCAGCGACCTGAGTTCGATCCTGGGCCTCGCCTTGGTTGACTCTGCCTTAAATTAATACCTGGTGCGGTGTGTAAACATCAACACCCACCTCCCCCCATGCGCCGTGCCGGCCTTCATAGGTGCTCTGACAGCACTTACCCCAAGAGTGTGTTCAAGGGCTACACAGGGAATATCTGTCTTTTGCTTTGTGTGCGCGTGTGTGCAGCTGCAGAAAAATTGTCTTCTCTCGCTGTGCAGCGATCGCATCCTTCAGGACGTGCCCTTTGATCGGTGGGGGCGCTCACACATGCGCGCACGCACACACTCGCGTCGCCACCACGTGACTTGTTCACGGTCTTACGTCGCACACATAGACGGCGTGTGTTATCATGTCTCAAATACGAACACGTTGATGGTATGCTTTGTGTGCGCTGTGTGTGTGTGTGCGGGATGTGACACAGGTTTCAGGCAGCAAAGTTGGTGATGCAGTGGCTGTGTAACCACGATGACCAGAACATGCAACGCATGGCGGTTGCCATTATATCCATCCTGGCTGCGAAGGTACCTCCGTGCAACTACGCAGCCAAATGCATCCGCACGCCATGCAAGCACTTTCAAGCAATTGTAACTAAACGCAAAGCACACGTAATTGCTCGCAACCACACGTTCGCACCCGAAACTTCCTCTAATCGCGTGCAACCAGATGCAAGCACGTGCAACCAGATGCAAGCACGTGCAACCACCCGCCTGCACACTCAAGCACACGCAAGCACACGCAAGCACACGCAAGCACACTCAAGCACACTCAAGCACACGCAAGCACTTGCAACCACGCGCAGGCATATGAAAGCACCTGCACGATTGGGCCAATGAGTGTGCCCCGTTGTGCACGTGTATGTAACCCCAGCTGTACACACGGACGTGAACGTGCGCGATGAATAGCTCTCTTAACAAATTATTCCATTCAACACAAACACACAGTTCCAGTGTGTTAGTTATATCTATGAAAAAGAGCAACGTTTAATCCGTGAGCCCATGCTGATGCTACCTCAAACAAGGCAACCTTGGACTGGTTTAACTTCACCGAGTCTCATCGACAAGCTGAAGCCTCCTTTTACTGACTTCACGGGCTACCCCAAAATGTGGGTAGGAGACGTGAATGTACACCGTGGTGCTAGATTCGCTGAGACCCAAATTGATAAATGTCTACGTGAACGGCTTTCAAGCAAGATGCAACATTCACAAGTTCTGGAAACAAGTTGCAAATCCATTGTACGTTGTGTTGTTTGTCGAGTCTATAGATTTATAAAAGGTCTCGAATGGCATGATAACAGCCTCCGTCACCGGGAAACATTCACGTGGAAAGCCCCGTAGATGTAAGCCACGACGTTTGTGTTGTCGTCTTTGCTTCTTTACGTTTTCGAGCAAGCTGGCCAGGATTGTGCAAAACCTAGCCCACTTTTCACTCGGGGAAACTGCAGAGAACAGACCAAGTGTTTCTAACCTTGCATTATATATTAACAAAAGCATATTTAAGAGTTGCAGTTAAGAGACAACCAACATATATATACATACAATAATTGTTTTATTAAAATGCAATATTTAAACACTTAAAATATCATTGCAAGAATCCCACTGCAATTCTTTAAATTTCTGGCAGAACACTTTGAAATTCTGAGTAGACCTAGTTCCTGTCAAAAGGTCGTGTATGTGTGTGTGGGTCTTCTAAATATGGCACGTCTAGTGCTTAACACAAAACAGTGATCACGAATACCAGGATCACCGACACTGCTGACACTATCATGTCAGGAGTGTTTGACAGGATACTTTTGGGCATATAAAGTGACTTCCCATCTAAGTCATTGATATTTATTTTAAGCATTTTATGAAGGGGTTTTCTCCCTGGTAATTTAGATCCCCCAGGACTAATAATTCAGCTTTGCTGTTCCTAGAAACTTGCTTAAGGCTTAAAAGAATGGTTTCTAAATTTGCAACATCATGAGTTTCTTATTTAGGAGGTGTTAAAACTGTAGAGAAGAACTATCCGTGCAGTCTGAATTGTTCAAACTAGAAATGGATCTATGCTCAATTGGTCCACAGTCCACCAGACCCAATATGTTTGTTTCTCATGAATCCTTGAAATTTTCTTGGGCAAACTGCAAATATTCAGTCGGCCGAAATGTAATCCGTTGGGCAAATGTGTTTGTAACACGGCTCCGTTTTAATCGCCCGGTCGGCTACAGGGAGATTCATTTACATTTGTAAATTCATCATATTGGAAGTTTCACCAACCCACAAAAGCTGCCAAAGCAGCTCCAAACTTTCAGGATCCAGAATGAAAGGGGCACTTAGGGCCAATCCATAGCAGATATCCACAAACATGCGAGAAATAGGATCTTTGCACTTTAGTAATTTTGCCGTGCAATGAGGAAACACGTTGGAAATTGATAATAACGTGTGATACAAAAGAGTTATTTTTAAAACACGACTGTCATATTTTAGGTCCGACAAGAATAACCATATCTCCAGTGCCAGAGCATTAAAAGTAAATTCCAATAATACAATCAAGCAAAAACACAATCACCATAACAATAACAGATATCAAGTCCAAGAAGTCTGAGTGTCTGCAAGGCAGTCCAGAGTTGTTCAGGGTGCGGCACCTTAGCCTCGCCAACATCACGTCTATCGACACCGCAGTGCGAAGCCACAAGCGGAGGGGGGGGGAGACCCCACTGGAGTCCCGGCAGTGAAATGCAGCCGCAGTCGACACTGAGGAGTGGGCATGCAGGGTTGAGCAGGAAGCAGACGGCAGCCAAAAAGATTCCGAAGGTGTAAGCACACGCTTCTGAAAAAGAGCAATATAGCTCAGTGGGCCTTACCTGGTAAAAGTAAAAAAAAACATTAAAACCTGCAGCAATTGGTATTTGAACCTGTCATAAGCCTCCTGTAGATGATATCGGTCCCTGTGGATTAGAAACTGTGGTTGGGCATGGTGTTGGCCACACCACCCTCCCCTCGTGGGCCATGCTGGATTGATTCGGTGTTCCCTAACTAACACCGCTGGGCCCACGTCGCCTTTCACACTCAATGGGGGATCTTTGTCTTGTGTGTGTTTGTGTCTTTGTGTTGTAGCTATCCACGGAACAGACAGCACAGCTGGGGTCTGAGCTGCTCATCGTCAAGGTGACAATCTCAGCAGCCTGATGTAGCCACCGTCCTGAAAGGGATACACGCTTTGAAAAGGTCACACAGTCTCTTATTGTTCATGCTTCTGTTCTCGCCAGAGAGAGCCGAGTCGGCTCTTCTGACATCCTCGACTCGTTAATCTAGCAGTGGTTGTTCGGAGTAATGCAACTTCCTCGCAGCACTCCAGGTTTCAATTGGACTCCGTTGGGTTGAGTTTCATTAAGCAGGATGGGAGTGGTGGCGCAGCACTTTGTGCACTGCACTGTGCACCTAGCAAACTCGCTCCGATTCTGGCCACGGCTCACGTCGGTGGCGAGTGTGAGCTGAACCTGCCCTGGTCCCCCCTCCCCCTTCACCAAATTGGCCTTGACCAGCGTCGTCACATTCCCCTTAACTGACACACGGTGGAGTAGTGGATTAACAAAGGGAATGGCTGCACATTATTAAATATTATATTGTATTTATAAACGATACATGTTGAGAACTTGATCGCTTTTGTTTAGCTCGAGTAAATATGGAGCCTCAAATATGATCATAATTCATGTAATGATTATATCAGTTTTGCGTGTGAATAAATTTTTGGTTTTGCTCTCGGTTATTTTGCGCATCCCCTCCCTGCAATGTCCTGTAACTGCCACCACTGCTAACAGTCTTAGGCTGTGGCCGTCCTTGTAACAGAGCTGCTTAGTTCATTGGGGCCTTACCGGATGAAATGATCAAGTCTTCGTCTGAGTTGGGTTTATACCTTATCATTCGACTCGCCACAGTAGAGTACTCGACTCGCCATCATAAAAACAAAGCGGGACACGAGACAAACGAGACGATAAACACGAGACTTGATGGAAACTCATTTTAAGTCGAGTCGTGAATGTAAAGATTCACGAAATCGCCGCAGCAAAGCGAACGTTCACGTGCTCAGCGTTCAGCGTGTACACGTTGCACGTGGGACTGCGGGGGGGGGGGGGCGAGGGGGGGGGTGGGCGGTGGGGGGTGGGTGTCGCGGGGCGGCTGCGTAACGACCACTCCGTGCATCTTGCACAGAAACTGCTGCACATCGTGGAGCAGAAGACGGCGGCGTCTGCTATCGACACAACGCTCAAGTTCACGCTGAGCGCGCTGTGGAACCTCACGGACGAATCTCCCACCACGTGCCGGCACTTCATTGACAACCAGGGCCTGGAGCTGTTTATGCGCGTGCTGGAGGTGAGAAGCCACAAAGACAAAGATCCCCCATATAGCCTTAAACATTGACTGTTGGGGCAAGTGCTGTTAGCGAGCACCTATGAAGGCCGGCACGGCACACGAGGGTGTGGGTGGCCAACACCACGCCGGCCACCTTTGTGTCGCTAGTGGCGATGTTTACTCCACACCGCACCAGGTACGCCACTTCTCTGCCCTCTGCTGTTGCTGGAGGGCGACTGCCTCCAACTGCCCAGTAGCGTCCTTCACGAGCCTCCTTCACACACACGCACAAACACAAACTGTTGTTCCACATCATTAAAATCTGACCACCTTCATCAATAGCACTGCCATGCAACACTTCTGCCATGCCAAACTGAATGATGTTGCAATTAAACGACTGCGTGTTTACATTTTTAAACCACTGCGTGTTTACATTTAACAAAAGAAAACTTTTCTTTTGTTAATAAAAAATTGTCAGTGTAAACTTCCTTCAAATTCCCCAGTGTTTTCAAGCGTCGGAATTTAAAGGGCCATCTGCAACTATCAGTCTTTCAATCCCACACTGTGTCTGTGCTGAAGGGGCCATTGCCTGAATTTTTAATCCTTCCATATTGTGTTCTGTTCTATTGAAATGCTAACGACGGTGATGATGTCTTCGCGTGTATCACTGCCATGTAGGCGAAACATTACCTCAATTGCAAGAGATGGTGTGAATATGTCAACTCTCAATCGGTTGGTTAAACAACAGACCCTTGAATTGACGATGCTGGCTGAATGTTTCCACAGACTTTCCCCACTGATCCGTCAGTACAACAGAAGGTGCTGGGGCTGCTGGTAAGCTACACAACCACACATTTCATATGACGCGCACGTGCATGGAGTGAGATGCAGCAGCACGCCACGGCGTGGAGCACGGTTCGCTCCGTACGGCGCGAAAGTTCAAGATGCGTACATACACAAGCACACCCTGTGGGAGCGAGGCCACGTGTGCTTGTGGACAATGGCCGTTCTTCACAGCACATGGAGAGGCCAGAGAGGTCGAGTGGCTCCTCTGTGCTGTAAGGTGTGCTTATACGCGGCATCCACCGTGCGGTCCTCTGCTGGCCATGTGACAGCTCAGTCTGGTGAGGCCTTACAACAGCAACTTTTGTTCACCAAGTGGCGGTGATGTCACGACGGCGCTCGTGCCAGGCTAGGTGCACCTTGAGGCCACGTAAGGTGTCGAAGGTTTGCCGGCTGGAGGCTCGCGCACACACAGCCAACAAATATCCCCCCTGTAGCCTTGTCAAGACTGTTGGGGCAAGCGCCGTTAGCGAGCACTGATGAAGGCCGGCACGGCACAACCATTGCACAAACACACACACGACGTACGTGCGCGCCGTGCCGTGTCTCGCAGAACAACATCGCGGAGGTGACGGAGCTTCACCCGCAGCTCATGAGGAAGGGCTTCATCGAGCACATCGGGTAACACGCAGCACGCAGGCACCCCACGACACACCGCGGCACACCACGGCACCCTCCGCCACGCCGAGAACGGCTGTGCAGCGGGCGTGCCGCACGGTGCGTTGAACACAGTGTGGCAGTGCTGTGCGGTGTGTGGAACATGCCGTGTGCGTGCTGTACGTGCTGCGTGCTGTACGTGCTGCGTGCTGTACGTGCTGGGTGTGCTTGTACGTGCTGTACGGGCTGTACGTGCCGTGTGCTGTACGTGCCGTGTGCTGTGTGCTGGGTGTGGTGGGTGTGCTGTACGTGCCGTGTGCTGTGTGCTGTATGTGCGTGCTCTGTGCTGCGTGCTGCGTGCAGCTCCCTGCTGTCGAGTGGTGAGGTGGAGGTGAGCTACTTTGCGGCCGGCATCATCGCTCACCTCACGTACCGCGGGGAGGCGGCGTGGAGACTGGAGCCGCGACTACGCGCCACGCTGCTCCAGCAGCTGGTACCGCTCACCCCATACTTCTCACCCCATATGCACTCTCACCCCACACTCACGCGTGCACTCACTTACTCACCCCACACTCACGCGTGCACTCACTTACTCACCCCACTCACGCGTGCACTCACTTACTCACCCCGCACTCATGCGTGCACTCACTTACTCACCCCACTCACGCGTGCACTCACTTACTCACCCCACTCACGCGTGCACTCACTTACTCACCCCGCACTCACGCGTGCACTCACTTACTCACCCCACACTCACGCGTGCACTCACTTACTCACCCCACTCACGCGTGCACTCACTTACTCACCCCGCACTCACGCGTGCACTCACTTACTCACCCCACACTCACGCGTGCACTCACTTACTCACCCCACTCACGCGTGCACTCACTTACTCACCCCGCACTCATGCGTGCACTCACTTACTCACCCCACTCACGCGTGCACTCACTTACTCACCCCACACTCACGCGTGCACTCACTTACTCACCCCACTCACGCGTGCACTCACTTACTCACCCCGCACTCATGCGTGCACTCCCTTACTCACCGCGCACTCATGCGTGCACTCCCTTACTCACCGCGCACACACGCGTGCACTCACTTACTCACCCCGCACTCATGCGTGCACTCCCTTACTCACCGCGCACACACGCGTGCACTCACTTACTCACCCCACACTAACGCGTGCACCCACTTACTCACCACATACTCACGCGTGCACTCACTTACTCACCCCACACTCACGCGTGCACTCACTTACTCACCCCACACTCACGCGTGCACCCACTTACTCACCCCGCACTCGCCCTACTCACGCACCCACTCCCCTATCCCGCACTCGCCCATTCACTCACCCATTCACTCACCCACTCACTCACTCAATACCCACCTACTCATTAACTCGGACGCTTACCCCACATGTACACTCGCATTCACTCACTCAGCCCACACTCCCTCACCAACTCGCACAATGTAGGTATGTATGTTGAACTTCTTTCGCCAACATTACCCCACGCTCACCAACAAGACCTATGAAGGCCCGCACGGCACACGAGGGGGTGGGTGGCCAGCACCATGCCTGGCTGCCTTTGTCTCCCTAGTGGCAACGTTTTTACACATCGCACTTGGTACTCAATTGAGGCTGAGTCGACCTAGAGGAGGCCCAGGACCGGTTCAGATAATCGTTACTGGTGTTGGCCGTGAGCGGGAATGGAACTTGGGTTGCTGGGTTCGTAGCGCAGCGTGCTAACCGCTGCTCCACCACTCCCCTCACCGGCTCGCACTCATTCACATGATGATGCGCATATTTGCATGGACGCTACGCCGACCGATGCCAACTCGCGCTCTCCCTGGCCCGCTCAACTCTCTCCTCCCCCCCCCCCCCCTCCCCCCTCTTAGCAAAGTGCCATCCTTGGCTGGACTTCCCCAGACTGCGAGATGGTTGCGTACAGGTGAGTCTTCCATGCTGCTCATGAACGTATTTCATCGCCAATGGGAAATAACCCCAGGGCCCTGTGGCGGTTCCTCCTGCCACGAGTTGGCCGGTTCCCAGTGCCATTTGTTTACTCTCAGTCCAGCTTCATTTGAACAGAGTCCCACCAGCAAGGTGTCGCCTCCGTAGACAATGCTGTTGCGTCCCCTGACGTGCATACCCTGGGCATTGATGCTGCAGCTATGCTATCCCACTGAACATTCAATCTACTACACCGACTTTTAATGCACGCTTAAAGGCTCCACCTCTTCCTTAAAGGCCCCACCTCTCGCCCCTGGCTCTCAAGCGACACCGAGCTCGGCTCCGCGCCTCAAGGTTACGCTCATTTATGATGACTGTGAAATATTGCGCGCGTTAGATTGCTTTATTATTTCAACGACAATGATGATTATGATGTGCTCGTGTGTTGTTTGGCTTTTGTAATCTCAGCTGTAGCGCTGTCGCTTCTGCGAGGCAGCCAAGTGTGGCTGCTGCTGCTGCTCATAGTCGAGGCTTGTGCGCGCGTGTGCGCGCGCGCGCGCATACGCGCGCTTGCGTACGTACGTGCATACGTACGTGTGCCCGCGCACTACGAACCGTGCGACCCGAGTTCGATTCCCGACCACGGCTAACATTGACACATCAGAAATAGGAAGGTGGCCGAGGCATAGTGCCGGCCACACCGCCCCCTCGTGCACTGTGTGCCAGCCTTGATAGGTGCTCCCTATACGCCCTTGCTCCAACCGTCCGTTGAAGGCTACATGGGGAATCTGTATCTCTAGTGGTGTGTGTGTGTGTGTGCGCGTGTTCACAGGTCATTCTCTCCGTTCTTCCCGCTGCTCAAGTGCGCCGACGCCTCGGCCGTGCAGCTGTGGGCCGTGTGGGCCATGCAGCACGTGTGCAGCAAGAACCGTACGGCTTTGCACGACTCGCTGCTACACTTCACCCTGCTGCACACTACACTCACTGCTGCACTTTATTTTAACTGGTCCTGGACATCCCCTGGGTTGACTCGGCCTTAACTGATGTGGGGTGTGAGCATTCACACGCCGAGCTGAAGGTGCGAGCCGGACTGTGCTGGCCTTAATAGGTGCTCGCCAAGAGCACTTGCCCCAACAGTCTGTTGAGGCTACACGGGCAGGATCTTTGTCTTTGTGTCACATTGCTCCCTCTGTGTGTACTGCGTCCGTGTGGAGCAGCGGGCCGCTACTGCAGCATGCTGCTGGAGGAGGGGGGCCGCCCGCACCTCGTGAGGCTGCAGCGCTGCCTCCGCACCGCACGCCACGTCCGCGCCATCGCCGCCAGCGTGCTCCAGCGCCTCGACGCACACGCCACCGCTTGCGCTGCCCCCGACTCGTAGCCTCCCCGGCCATCCGCTAGGTCCGCTCGGCCTAAATTTACGTGAAGGCACGGGGGTGCTCCGCAGGAGGCCACCTGATGGCCAAGCGCAGCACGGCACAGCCGTGCCCCCCCCCCCCACCCCAGTACCTTGCCGCTCCCAGCATGCCCTGGGGCTAGCCAAAGCCGCCCTCTCCGCAGGGTGAGTGCAGTCCTAGGAACGTTTCCCAGCATGCACTGGGCTATGATAGCAGACACTTTTCCCAGAATGCTCTGGGCTCTGAACGGTGGACCCAACGTGCACTGGGTTCTGCGAATACTTTACCTGTTGGCAACAAGTCTCCCATTCTGCACCGGTGCCAACATGTGCCCGCTTTACAGCCTGCAATGGGGCATGGGAAGCGGTAACACCCGGGAGGGCACTGGGACTTGCTGGTAGCACTTCCTAGCATGCACCGGAGGCCTGCTTGGCACATTTACTACCCAGCATGCAATTGGTGCCATCGGCTCATCCCGTCGGGGCAGTGTGCACATTTCCCCAAAGTCACGTGGCCAGGCAAATGGGCTCCTCCCCAACTCACGGTACTTGTCGCTACGTGTACCCAATCTTACTTTGTAAAATATAGATATATTTAACTCTGGCCCCTAACAGATGATGATAGCAAATCCCAGTATGTCTTGCAAATTAACATGCCCCCCCCCACGTGCATTAATAAGTGCGCTAATGCACTCTAGACTGTTACACACCTCTGCTGCCCTACGCAGAAGTCTGGTTTACATGGATTTTGCAAGAGAGAGGAGTAATTTGCAAGATACCGACGCACGGAAGCACCTGAGGAGGCGGCGGTGGTGGCGGCGGCGGCACCGAAAACAATGCTCAACGTGACTCGGGAGAAATGGTGTCATCCTTACACCGACTGTAGCACCGCAAAAAACACTATTAGTATTAAATATTAATGTAATTTGTGAAGGTGCCACACTCGTATCCTGACGGATTAAAAACAAGGGCGATTTTAAAAGAACCCGTTGTCTATTGTATATGTGAATATGGTGAATAATTGACTACACACGGGCTGGTTCTTTGTGCAGCGTTGCTGCCCACACGAATGATGACCACTCTCTCCAGCGAGCCAGCGAAAACGCTACATACATCCCTTCCTCCCTCGCGCTCTACGATCCCAGCCCCACTGCATCACGGATCTTGTGGGGTTTTTGTTCTCTTCCCTTTTTTGCACCAGATTACAAAGTGGATGGATTGATAAGATGATAAAAAAAACATTTTAAAAAGGTGCTTTATATGAATCTGTTCCATACTGCATTGTATCAAAAGAGTTCTGCTTTGAATAAAAAAAAAGTTAAAAAGTATTGCTGTTCTCAAACGCACATTACACAGTGGTCATCTTTTTTGTTTATCTTGAGTCGGTGGTAACAAAAAATTGCACATTTTTATAGCAGGGTCTTGTATTTCCCAAAGGACAACCACTGTTGACTTTTCACGAAGTTGAACTCTTTTTATCAGGAGGGGTAATTGACTGAGTTGACCTCTTGCAATGTAAAATAGATTTTGCAACAAGCCTACGTCTGCACCACGCACTTGCAACCACAGCACCACTGCTGAGACGGGTTTTGCCCCCGCAGTCTTGAGGATTCCGAGGGATGGGTCTGTTGGTGAGTTTCAGGAGCCAAGGCCTACGAAAACCCCTCTGATTTGGAAAGCTTACCGGTAGCTCTTGCGTGAAATTCTCCCAAGCACTGCATCGGTCCTGGGGATCGGGGCTCAATCACGCGGCGGGTGCCGTTTTTCCTCCATGTTGAAGGTGGCAGAGTGTGGGAGAGACCGATCATTCGCGGCCCCACCGTTTGGGGTGGCTGCAATTTATTCCTTTCACGAGGATAACGACGGTGTTGGTGAAGGTCTCCAGGCAGGAGAGGCTCCAGGCTCGTGTGGGAGGTTCGAGTCAAGTGGAGCCACCGATCAGGATGGAAGTGACTACCTGCTCGCTGTAGCCACCCTTGGGCGCCGTGTTGTTTCCCCTTCCTACATTTGAATCGATGACCTTCACGCCAGAGGCCGCTTCCGGTTCAAGTGGCGTGAAGCGAGCCATTGCCGAGTTACTGAATCACGTTTGCACTATAAAAATCATCCTGCAGTCATCCCATGGTAGGAAGAAGTGAGATAAGGGTACTCCACCGCATCACTGTATCATTCCACATACACTGCCTTTTACCGCTCAGCCGCGCAGAAACCGTGTGACATTGGCACGTGTTCCGCATTATAACCTGAGTCTTGTTTTGCTCGTTTGTTCTGAGCCCAACTTTTTTGTGAAGTTCTTCGTTATTTTTCCTGTAAATTCCCATCGATCATTATAATGACCACATAACCAGTGGTCGTTAATTCTTTTTCTGCTATGCGTTTATTTTTACAATGCAATTCTCATACAACATTTACTTAATCACCACTGGAATCACAGTTAATTTTATTTGATTAGAAAAAAAATCACAATCATTGGCAATTAAAAAAATCACATTCCACCGTAACACATTTAATTACAAATGTATTTTAAATACTTTACAATCATCAGAATCATCACAGTTCTTTTATCACCATGAAGGGCAGTTGGTTGATAGCGATGGGTGATGTTTTTAGCACACGTGTTCGCGACAAACCTTGTGGGTTTATCTTCATGCTACTTGGGTATGGCCTCTTCAGACCAAAAAGCAGATTAGGCAGCTTGATTCAGCACGGTTGAATCATTCAAGAGCAACTTTTCATGAAGACCACTGCCTGCCTAGTCCATAGCCCTAAATAGTCCTGGTCACATCAATGAAAGTACCAAACTTGTAACTCATCCAGCTAATCTGAATTGTCGTGTTAATGAAGAATGTAACCATAACCTGAATGTGAACACTGAATGTAACAGACCTGACCAATCGCCAAATACTAATCCTTGCTCACTCTCTCACTTAAAGCCTAACACTGGGCTTGTTCTATGATTAATTATCAACCCTGAAGCCAAGTCAAATGATGCAATTTTATTGCAGGAATGTATAAATGTTGTCTATATTAACATATCCCTCTCTCCACATGAAACGGGTTTTTTTACACAACTCCATGGCCTTCTGAGAGCGCTTAATTTCAGCCACACTTTCAATACAATCAAAACTCTGGAACGGTTTCGACTTGTAGAGTCGAGGCTTGTTTGAACCAAATTCTGTGGTGGTTGCAGATACAAAGAAGGCACTCTGGGATCACGTTATGACCTCATGTCTGCCTCGTCCATCGTGCCTTCATTGTCACGCTGCATTTCGAGTGTTAAATCAGCAACTGGGATTCAACAATCCTTACGAAGGTAAATACAACACCCTGATTATTTCACACCCATTGTATCAATTGTAACTTCAATAAATATGGTTTATTCATAGGTCAAGCTGATGTAGTTGCTTGCCTAGATCCCCTATGAATCTTGCTGGGCTGGATCGTCCAGGCTGGAGAGAGGGGGGGGGGTGGTGGTCAGCACTCCCGGCCTCGTGTATAATTATTATGAACGAGCTCGGGTGAATATTGCTTAACCAGGGCGAGAACTCAACACATTGGCTGTGGCTGAATTGAACGGCTCAATCGGTTGCCGACGTTTGCAGAAGCAAGGCAGCTGAATTGCCTCTCGTGGGATGCCGTGCAACAATTGAACGTGCAGGAAAATTGTGAAATTTAACTTGGCTCAACACTGGTGCAAGCCATGGTCTCTATCCTAACCCTGGCCACTAACTCTAGCCCCCACCTCGCCCAGTCTCTGGTGTGAAGTCTTCACCTAACACCTCGTCTAGCCCACGACCCACTATAGGCACTCGACATGGCACTGACTTGCATGTATGTTGAACTTCCTTCGCACAGTACGTAGCCAACCGTGCTAAGCGGAGGTGCCACCGCGGCCCTGAGCGATCAGCACAGCTCCCCCAGGCCCTCGTAGCCCTGAACCCCGCACTTCTTGCCGGCGACACGGCACCCAAACGTGAGCGCCTCCTGCAGGGACTGGCCTGGCCACACGGAGACAAACACATTCCACATGTACATGAACGTACACAACAAAGATTACCCCGTGTAGCCTTGACAGATTGCTAGGGCGAGCACCTATGAAGGGCAATCTGATACGCGACGGGATGGTGTGGCTATCGCCATGCCCGACCACCTTTGTCTCCTCAGTGGTAATATATACCACACTGCACGGGGCACTCGTTCAGGTCGAGCCAACCTAGCGGAGGCCCAAGACCGGTTCAGACATTCGACACCGATGGTAGTCGTGAGCGGCAATTGAACTCAGGTCACCGGGTTCGTAACCACTCTACACTATCACTCCCCAACACAAATCACTCGCACCACGTGCACGTTGTGCATCTGATGTAGGGGTCGCGTGGGGACATGCTGAGGTCATGTGGGGAGCGCACCCAAGACAGACAAAGGCAGAGGATAACGAAGCCGCGTGAAAGGAGACGGGATTGGAGGAGACTGAAAGGGGGAATATTTGGTGGTAAAGAAGCAGGGGCTGAGAGGAACTTCTAGAGAGTTCGAGAAGAGAGAATGTGGATCATCGGTTTGTGTCGTGTGCTCGGGGCTCCAGGAGAGAAGGCATGGTGTGGGTGTGCACGTGTCATGGTGTACGTGGTGTGAAGATCTGAATAAAATCCCTACCAGACGATTCCTTCTATTGGACTCCCTTTCACACACATACACAAACAACGCACTTACTGTTCGTTAATGTGTGTTTGTGCACGTGGGTGTGAGTGGGTATCTTTATGAATACCTTTGTGCGTGTACGACCATGTATGTGTGCGCGTGGGTATTTATGGGAATGAATGTGTGAACGTATGTCCGCGGATAACTGCTTATGTGTACATCGGCATCTGCGTGTATGAATGTCCCCGTGAGTGTTGGTGTGTGTGGCGCAGTGGTTAGCGAATTGCGGTACGAACCTGGCGACCCGAGTTCGCTCACTTCCAACATCAGTGATGAATATCTGAATGGTGTGTAAACGTTACCACTGGGGAAACACACTAGGGAGCCTAATGTGGTGCTAAGCACACCACCCCATCGTGTGTCACGCTGGCCTTTATAGGTGTTCACTGACAGCTCTTGCACCAACAGTCTGTTAAAGGCTATATGGGGGTTCTTTGGTTCCACATGGGTATCTGCGTGAACGACTGTGTGTGTGCATCTGTAGACACACGCGTGTGACCGTGTGTGGATGTACAGATGTATCTGTGCATAGACACACACAGACACGCATATGACCGTTTATGTACGCGTGTATCTACGAGTGGAGCCATGCCATGCGTGTGTCGATGTTAACAACCTCGCCTGATATACAGAAGGTTGTGGATTCGATGCCAACCCTTGACGCCTGCTGTATATTCGGAGTTTGAAAGTTCTCCCCGTGGTTGTGTGGATTTTTCTCCGGGTCTTCCGGTTTTCCCCTCCACATTTAGAATCATGCGTTTACAGTATTTGGCTGCTATAAATTTCCACACGATAAGCCATTTCGTCGAGCTATCATTTGTAACAGCCAGGGCGCTTGTGAAAAATCGCTACATAGCTCAGTGGGGACTTACCTGATAAAACGTAAAAATAAATAAAATAGTGGCGCGTGTGTGCGCGCATTTGCGTGTATGCACACGCGCGCGTGTGCCCGTGAGTGCGTGCGGTGACGCACCCCGCGACAGCGCCGCGATGACGCCGGCGATGAAGGTGTCCCCCGCGCCGAGCGTGTCCACCAAGGTGGGCGGCGGGAACGCAGGGGAGCGCGCCACCTCCCCGCCCGGGCCCGTCGCCGCCGCCCCCTGCTCCCCCCACGCGCACACCAGGACGGCGCTGCCACGGCGCGCGTTGCGGGGGCAGGGAGAACGCTCGGTGAACCCTACGCTGCTGCGGCAACGCGCTACTGAACCAAGCTAGTTTTTAAAATGTGTTTATGGTTGCGACAAAACGCGAGCCCGGTACAATACGATGATCGACATTGGAGGAGAAAGAAACTTTGCGAGAATTCGAATTTGGCGAGACCGGACCGTACGCCAGGGGGGGGGGGGGAGTTGGACTCGCTGCCCCAGGGACCAAGTGTTGGTAAACTAAAACCATTCTTTTTATTTTAGCAGGCAAGGCTCACTGAGCTATGAAGCTCTTTTTAAGAAGCAGCCTGGCCACAAATAATGGCCTAACGAAGTGGCTTTATCATCATGTAGAAATGTATAGCAGCCAAATATTATAAAATGCACGTTGATTCGAAATGTGGAGGAAAAACCAGAGGACCCAAATAAAAACCCACACGACCACGGGGAGAGAGAGACACCACGAACTCTAAATATACAGGCATCAGGGTCGGGATCGAATCGACAACCTCCTGCGTACCAGGTGAGCGAGTTAACATGTCCAAGCCACCACGACGCCCCGAACTTGCAGTCGTGGGGACATTGTGCAGCGGCCACGTCACTCGGGCTCAGCTCCTCGTGGAATATTTCCCAAGGCCACCCTCACCGCTAACCCCTCGACCTCCAATCCCCTGGACCCCCCCCCCAGTGCCGGATGAAGCTAGTACGGGGCCTGTAGCATATGTTATAAAGGGGCCCTAAATAAAAAAAAACATAAATATTAAAACACAAAATTTAAACTTGCATAGTAAAGTAATTGGATTTTTTCATTTGCTATACAGCCAGATAATACGACAAATCACTAACCTTAAACACCCAGTCGTTCATAAAAGTTGAAGGCAGTATAGTACTATAGTATAAGTGCAGAATCACTGAACCGGAATTGATAGCTTGAAAGCATTTAGCGCGGGGCCCTTGAAAGTGTGGGGCCCGTAGTTACATATGTAGCTACTTGTGCTACTAGGATCATCCGGCACTGCCCCACCCCACCCCATTAACTACTCAGCCCAGGGCCGCTCCAGCTGAATTTCGGCCCTGGATGAAAATCAAAGTCAAGGTGCTCCACGTATTCAGAGGCACAACACACATCGGCACATCCCTGTTTGCTTGTGCAAATGAGGTGGCATCTTGACCTTGAGGCCGTGTGAGTGTATGTGTGTGTCGGCAGGTGGTGCATCAGCCAGTCATCTTAGTCAGTCGACCCATAGCACCTGGGTCTGCCCTGTGACCTCCTGCCAGCGGGCGTTCGACACTTCACGTGGCCTCAACGTGCACATAGCCTGGCACAAGTGCTGTGGTGACATCACCGCCACTTCGTGGCGAATGGAGGTTGTTGTTGTGTGTGTGTAAATGGGGAAGCGGTAGTGTAGCGGTTAGCATGCTGTGCTACGAAGCTGGCAACCAGAGTTAGATTCCCACTCACACCCAACATCAGTGACGACTGTCTGAACCGGTCCTGGGCCTCCCCTAGGACGACTCAGCCTCAGGGAAACAAAGGCTGGCCACTCACCCCCTTGTGTGCTGTGCCAGCCTTCGTAGGTGCTCGCTAACAGCACTTGCCCCAACAGTCTGCTGAAGGCTATCTGGGGGATCTTTGTCTTCTGTAAATGGGGGAGTGGTGGTGAGGCGGTGACCGCACTGCCAGCATTGGCTCAGGTTAACGGCACGTGATACCTGGTGCTGTGTGCAAACTCCAGTGCTGGGGAGAGAATGGTGGTGATGGCCAGACCCCGTCTCAACGTCGCACGTAGACTACGTGGGCGTCTTTGTCTCTGTACACGCGCTGTGTGCGGGTGGGTGAGTACCCTCGCTTCACTCTGCCGTAGAGCCCTCGCACTGCCGCTTCAGCTGAATCGTACCCAGCGTGCTTTGCAAAGTCCTTACTGATGAAAACCTGGAACACAACAGCGAGCAATACAGCATTGTTCATCGCCGTTGGTGGGTTTTAATGACTGGTGGAAATTCCTAAATTCCGTCCCAGGTTTCAGATTCTCCATAGGATGATCACAATATTAACAGGTTTTACATTCTTAGTTACTGAAAACAGATCTATCATGGTAGCAGTGTACATCTGCATGTGGGCGAATACCGTGTGGTCACCGACGGAAGAAATGCCCAAGCTCAACCCCGCTCCGCTCCCCATATGTGATGAGCTCCAGAATTATCCCGCTTACTTGGTCACAACGCGTTATATCATAATTTGCATAGATTGTAAATCATCCATTCTCACACGTAAACTTCAATGCACATTACCAGAGCTTAAGATTTGACGTTAACTCGTGACGTCCGTCGCACGCTTTGCCACGGAGTACATCGGTCGTTTTCACGTGAACTATGGATCATCGGTGCGGTGTAGCCAAAGGCCATACACCTTGCCCACGTCACCCACCAATTGACACGAACGCGCTCACCACGTCGCCGTGGCCCATCAGCTGATGCGTGTCGAGTTTCTCGGGCTTCTCTATCTCCACCGACACCGTGATGGCTTCCCCGGGGTCTCGGCGTCCGTTCATCTCGTTGACGCGCGCGATCATGCGCACCTGCTCGTCGCCGTTCCTGCCCTACGCTCGCGCGTGCACACAAATGGGAAAAGATTACATCCCCGAATAGACACCGACTTTTTAACAGACTGTTGGGGCAAGTGCCGTTAGCGAGCGCCGATGAAGGCCGGCGCGGCACACGAGGGGGAGGGGTAGCCACCACCACGCTCGGCCGTCTTTGTCTCCCCAGCACTAATGTTTACAAGCCACAGCAGGTAATTATTTGAGGCCAAGACGACCTTTAGGAGGCCCACCACCGGGGCGAACGCCGCGACTGCTGGGCCACTGCCACATGAAACGCTCTCTCCCTCGCTCACTCCCTCGATCACTCCTCCCTCCCTCGCTCGCGTTTCGCACCGCTCGCTGGGGACTGGGCAGCGCACGCCGACGTGAAACTCAACCAAAATGATACCCATCGCGAAAACATCGCCAGAGGGTGGACTCATCTCCCAGTGAATGGGTGACAACATCGCCGGAGGGTGAACTCACCTCCCAGTGAATCCACCTGAAAGGGCCGAGGTCGACTTTGCTGAAATCGTCCGCCGAGATCTCGGGTAGATCCCTTTTAGTGCCCGACACACACGCACACACACACGCACACACGCACGCACACACACGCACACATGTACACACATACACGTGCACACACACACACAAACGCACGCACGCGCGCACACACACACGTACAGAGACACAAACCCGGTGACACATACAAACACAAAGATCCCCCGTGTCGCCTTAACAGACTGTTGGGGCAAGTGCTGTTAGCGAGTAGCACCCTATGAAAGTCGGTACTGTGGCACATGAGGGGGTGGGTGGCCAGCACCACGCCCGGCCGCCTTTGTCTCCCTAATGGCGATGTTTACACACCGCACCAGCTGCTCATTAAAGTCGACCTTGGGGAGAACAAGGGACCGGTTTAGAAACCACTCGCCATTGACGCTCGCGGCGCCGGGAATTTAACTCAAGTCGCCAGGTTCGTAAGCGCAATGCGCCGACTCCTGCGCCGCCGCTCGCCACATACACGCACGTACACACGTGTACATGAACATGTACACGTGTACACGTGTACATGAACATGTACACGTGTACACGTGTATACGTACAAACACAAACATGCGCAGGTTTAGACATCGGTTTTGTTGCCAGAAAAAAGGGGAAAAACCCTATTAGTATATTTTGGTACTGGCAAAGGAGGTCCCATGATGTAGCTGCTCACCCCGAGCTCTCATTACTCTGGTAATGCGTTGTCCTTGAACTGTGCCCCTTTTGGCGTCATCTGGTCCAACCCATGTGAGACTAGGCTCTAAGGAAAGCTGTCTCGGGTGTGGACCAATCAACTTCAAGGACAGTGCACATTATCAGAGTTATGTTCTTTTGTTTGTATTATGACTGCAGGTATTGCGGTCTATGCAAACATGACTCCTTGTAAAAAGGTGTCAGTTTTGTTGCCAGATAGAAGGGTAAAAAACAATTATTGTATAGAATACCTTAAATTTCCATGAGTTAAATATCTTTGCCTCATGAACATTTTAAACAGGAGTTATAAGTAATGCAAAGTGGTCTGTTATCATTAAACTTTAAAACAAGTGGATTTTGCCCTGGTCTTTTACAAGATCTTTCAGAAAGCAATAGTTTGTGTCACATCTACAGGTACATAACATCAAGAGTTATAACCAAATCTTATTCAAGAGTTTAATAAAACAAGTGCCATAAGTCCAAGTGCATTAGTGTGTCGATTTAAAGCTTTCGTGACTGCAGGGATTCATCTTCTTGTTCTTTCGGTAAAGTCACGTAGAAGGGAAGTAATAAAATAATATAAATAAAACATAATAAAATAATTCTCACGACGTTTCGGCCACAACACAAGCAGCCGTCCTCAGGTGAAGACCAGGTCTGTCCAGGCGACAGCGTCTAAATGAAACACCACCACGCTTGGAGCGTCTATTTAAGCTGGGTTGGAAGGGGGGGAAAATGCGCCTTGACAAAATAATCAGCATATCAAGAGGAATTTAGCATATTTATGGGAAATGCAGGAATGCGACTAGTGCTACTTGTGAAATGCGTAGGAGGTGGGCGGGGGGTTTTCAAAGTCATATTATGCCCATGCATTATGCAGGATTAGCAGCATCAAAGGGAGGGGGTATAATGCACGGGCATAATATGACTTTGAAAACCCCCCGCCTACCTCCTACGCATTTCACAAGTAACACTAGTCGCATTCCTGCATTTCCCATAAATATGCTAAATTCCTCTTGATATGCAGATTCTTTTGTCAAGGCGCATTTCCCCCACCTTCCAACCCAGCTTAAATAGACGCTCCAAGCGTGGTGGTGTTTCATTTAGACGCTGTCGCCTGGACAGACCTGGTCTTCACCTGAGGACGGCTGCTTGTGTTGTGGCCGAAACGTCGTGAGAATTATTTTATTATGTTTTATTTTTATTATTTTATTACTTCCCTTCTACGTGACTTTACCGAAAGAACCAAGAAGATGCATTAGTGTGCTTTAGGATTTTCACTGTTAATAGTGACAGATGTTACCGTTCAAAACACTCAATTTCAGATTGATCAAGGAACAGATAACTTGCTGACACTAATGAGAAGGGTGATACTGAGATCTAGATTTCAGTAAAGAGACCAGGTCTGGCTTGAGGGCAGTGGTTGAGATGCGTAAAATGTCACGCAAGTGGGAGTCACTCATCCTTGACCTCAATCGGTTCTTGTTTAAGTTCATGACTGAGAATGTTTGCTCACATAAATATGTGGAGCAGAATAACCACATAATTTTCTTAGCGAATGACCGCATTTCTGGAAACCTGCTTTTGTCCAGCTGCCGGTAAAAGTCAACAAGAGAACACTGCTGGTGTTTCCCGCGGCACTCATCGTCACACTGCAGCTCAATGAGCTCCAGCTGCAGCTGTGGAGGAGCATCATCAGGGTCCACGGAGAAGGGAGAAGAGAAAAGAAACATGTCCTTTTGAATAACTGCAACGTCTCGAAAGCGTTTGTTAAATTCCACAGAAAGAGATGTGATAGCTGTTGCATAACTCTTCATTTGCGCACCGATGTTGTCCTGTGGGAAACTGTCAATGACCTCTTTCAAAAGCTGGGAAGTGCGCGGTGCAGGGCTCTGTTTGGGACAAGTGTCTTTGGAAAAGTTGCAGTTTGGTTCCAAAGGCCTTGATGTGAGCGTATAGCTGGCTCACCACTGCATCTTTTCCTTGAAGATTAACATTCAGCGCATTCAGATGCTTCGTTATGTGAACCAAAAAAGCCAGATTTGCCAGCCATACAGGATCGGACAGTTCTTCCATTGGTTGTCCCTTCTCACCCAAAAAATTTTCAATTTCCTCTTTGAGAGAGAAAAATCGCTGCAGTGCGGACCCCCAACTTAGCCACCTCACATCGTTGATATATTACGTCACCGTATTCAGCCTGGATGTCACGCAAGAACTGCTGAAACTGTCGGTGGTATAGAGCTTTAGAGCGAATAGAATTGATTGCCTTTGCCACTGGTTTCATAACATCGTCAAATTTGAGATGTTTGGCGCAGAGAGCCTGCTGGTGAATGATACAGTGAAGTTTAATAGCGTTACCTGCTTCTTCGCTGACTTTATTGCAGATCAGTGTAGACAATCCACTTCGCTCACCAGCCATGGCAGGTGCACCATCGGTAATGATCCCAGAAACTTTACTCCATGGTAGTTTCATATCATCAACAGCTTCACAAACAGAAACGAATACATCTGTTCCTCTGGTTTGCCCTTTAAGGCTTTTGAGGTCAAGCAGCTCCTCTGTCACGTTCATGTTGTCATCAACTCCTCTTAAAAAAATAAGTAGTTGTGCAGTGTCAGATGCATCGGTGCTTTCATCGCAGGCTACTGAGAAATAATCAAAAGCCACTCCCCTGTCCCCCAGTTGTCTCTGAATATCTGACGATATGTCCTCAACTCTCCGTGCCACAGTGTTGCGTGCCAGGCAAACATTCATAAATTCTTGCTTCTTCTCGGGGCAAATGTTCTCTACCATTTTCATGACACAGTCTTTGATAAACGCACCTTCAGTAAAAGGTTTGCCTTGTTTAGCTATTAACATGGCCACTTCGTAGCTGGCTTTGGTGATGTTTTCCTTTGACTCACAGGCCCGCGTGAAGAATCGCTGTTGCGATGCCAGAGCAGCACGGAGTTGCTTCACTTTTTCAGCGCGGTCACTCCCTGTTAGCTTGTCGTATGTTGTAGCATGTTTAGTCTCGTAGTGTCTCTTTACGTTGAAATCCTTAAACAAGGCAACCGTCTTTTTACAAATTAGACAAACACAATTGCCTCGATTTTCAGTGAAGAAGTATTGTAATTCCCACCGCTCCTGAAAGCGGCGGCCCTCACTGTCAACTTTTCTCTTTTTTTGCAGTCGCCACGGCAGAAATTACTCGAGAAGGGTTCGCGGCACGGATCCAGAGCCAGATAGCATTAGAATGGTGCTGCCACCGCGTGGTGAAAGGAGGAAATGTTATGATTTATTTATTCTGACAGAGCTAGCGAGCCATAAATAACACATTATAAGACCGAAGCTGCGGGCCGTATGAAATCTGACCGCGGGCCGTGTTTGGCCCGCGGCCCGGACTTTGGACATGGCTGGTGTACAGCTACATTTAGACTCATGGAACAAACTTACCATGAGAAAAATAAACAATACGAACGAGACAGTAAAAATGAGAAGATAATCGTGACAATCAGATCGCCGGTGGTTTTAATTTTAAAAAATTGTATAGAATTATTTTTACGTGTAATGATTCTGTGACGCTTTGGGTGTCAGATTTGTGCCAATAAGGCGCCAGGTGTTCACCAAGAATCAATTGACTCGACTTGCTGCTTCGCTACTGGCGGTGATCTGCACCAGCCATGGAATAAATCTGAATGTTTGTAACCGCGCGCGAGCATGAGTGCCGTGCGTCGTGAGCGCGCCGCGCTGATCGCAGTCAGCTCCGTGGAGCGGAGAGGAGACCACTCCACCACTACTCCACACACACACACGGGTACTGTGCCCACAAACACGTAAGTGCAACACACGTGTGTACACGTACAGCAATATATACACACATATGTAGAAATAAACACAAATACATAAACATATGTAGAAATAAACACAAATACATGAACATATGCAGAAATAAATACAAAGATGCAAGTTGAACTTCTTTCGCACTAGAGGTAGCCAACCCCGCTAATCGGAAGTGCGGGGGAAGGCCAACAAACTAAACATAAAAAGCAGTTCCAAATAAATGAGTTTTCAAACTACATTTAAAAGTGCATAGCTCCAGTGCCTTCCTAATATCGGAAGGGAAGAGCGTTTCAGACGGCCGTAGAAGCGCATCTGAAAGCGCCACGCGATGCTGTGACCATCTTTTATTGATGGTGAAGATGCCCGGAGTTCACGTGATCGTGGTTGATGTTCCTTTACGCCAGGGGTGGGGAACCTGTTTCTGCCAAGGGCCATTTGGATATTTATAACATCATTCGCGGGCCATACAAAATTATCAACTTAAAAATTAGCCTGTTATATTTGGTCAAACATTTAATTAACTTACCCCTAACGCGATGGCTGGAACTGCTTCTCTTTGGCGAGGCGTGTGATGTCAGCTGGAGTTGATGATGTTGCTACTCGCAACTGCTTTTCCAGGTTTGCTCCTAGATTTATTGAATTTCAAGTCCCGCCTGCGGTTGTCCTTGGCAGGGCCACACCAAATGATTTCGCGGGCCTTACACGGCCCGTGGGCCGGACGTTCCCCACCCCTGCTTTACGAGATCAGCAAAGTTTTGTGGTTGATTTGGCGCAACCACTTTGTGTGTAACGAGTGCGACCTCACAATGATCACTTCAGTCGCCCAGTATCGGTTGAGCAAACGCCTGCGTAGGGCGGCATTGCAAGCCACGGCAATGTGCGTCTGATGGGCCGAGTCGGCGCGTCTCAGGGGTGCAAGGCAACCCCTGGCGCCAGCTTCTCTCGGATAGGGGAGAGGGGGGCGGAGGGGAGGCAGCAGAGTCATTGTGTGGGGCGGGGAGTCCACAGCAATGATCCACACCGCTGAGGAGAGAGGGAATCGCGGTTGTGCCAAAGGCGACGTTTGGGGATGGGGGGTGCACCCCAGCAGAGCCCCCCAGTGCTGATCCCTGGCCCCTTCGCTTAGCTGCGGTTCCCTCATCCCCAACTTTGATGGCAGCGTGGAACAGCTGATGAGCCCTGTGAAGCCGAAACTCGTCCTAGTCTCCTGTGCTAAAGGCTACACATTCCCTTGGTGACGGCCTTGGGGCCAAGAGGTGTGGTTTATTTCACAAAAACGTTCTGTTAGTAGACCTGGCCGAAGCCGCGTGACCAGGGCCTCGCTCTGCCCTCCTCGGGCCGCCAGCGGCCAGGCTCTCGTCGGCGTGGCCGCTGCTGAAGCCGCCGGCGGCTCGGCGGGCAGCGCAAGCGCGGCCGCTCAGCCGGCCTGCTATGCAGCCACAGGTTCCATTCCCGCTGCAGTCAGCCGGTGATTCCTGCAGAGAAATTACCAAAGTGCCCCGGGCTGCTACGAAACCTACACTAAATAACCTTTTTCATTTGGGTGCCAGGAAGGGCAGTGGAGTGGTGACACTTGTGCCTCCTCACAGCAAGAAGCGCTGGGTTCCATTCACCGACTCGGGCGTATTCCTGTCTTGAGTTGGTTGTAGGCTGTCTCTCCCCCACCCCCGTTCTGCATGGGGTTCCTCTGGGTTCTGTGGTTTCCTCCTTCTCCGAAAGCGAAACAATCACCCACAATGTCATCGGTGTTGGCCAAACATTCCCAATGTAGCAGGGCCCTCCTAAAAACGAGTCTTTGTACTAAGCGTGGACTTTCCTGGGTAATTAAATTGCGATTATGATGAATGACATTGGCAAAAACGAAGCCAATGCGTGTGCATACTTGAGAATATTCTCCCATAATTGGAACCCGAAATTGTTTTGATTCGTTTAAAGTTAACAACTATTGCTACGCAAAAGTTTTATTCCAGGGTCTCCATGGCAAGAGGTGATGAACCCCACTTTGCAAGGCAGAGACGAGACAAAGATCCCCCGTGTAGCCTTCCACAGACTATTGGGGCAAGTGCTGTTGGCGAGCACTTATGAAGGACGGCATGGCACGCAAGGGGGTGGGTGGCCAGCACCACGCCCAGCCGCCTTTGTCTCCCACATGGCGATGTTTACACACCGCACCAGGTACTCATGTAAGCCGACCTAGATGAGACCACAGTGGTGATGTTTACACATCACAGCAGATACTAATTTGAGGCTGAGTGGACCTAGGGGAGGTCCATGACCGGTTCAAGTAATCGTCACCGGTGCTGGTGGCCGTGAGCGGGAATCAAACTCGGGTCGCCAGGTTTCGTATTGCAGCGGTGCTACCCGCTACACTACCGCCGCCGCCCCACTGAGCTGACACGGAGAGCGCTGCGGGTCGAGTACGTGGAGGCAGGCCGAGAACAGGCCACAGCCTCCACGTGACCAGGGCCCCCCTCACACCGACGAGCCCTCCTCGCCAGTCTCCTCACCTTTGCGCGTCCGCTCTCAGCCCTCACAATGTCCGCCCCTTGGCATTCACAACACAGCCTCGGTCAGGGAAAGGCGTAAAGCCGACGCCGAGCGGCGTCGCGTGCGAGTGTGCGGCGGAATGATATGTGTGAGGGAACGTGTGGGTGAGTGCGTGAGTGCGTGTGTGAGAGTGAGTGTGAGTGAGGGTGGGTGTGAGTGAGAGTGAGTGAGAGTGGGCTGGTAAGGACGTGAGAGTGGGGGTGGGCTGGTAAGCACGTGAGTGAGTGAGAGTGAGTGGGCTGGTAAGCACGTGAGTGAGTGGGCTGGTAAGGACGTGAGTGAGAGAGTGAGGGCGAGTGGGCTGGTAAGCACGTGAGTGAGTGAGGGAGTGAGGGCGAGTGGGCTGGTAAGCACGTGAGTGAGTGAGGGAGTGAGAGTGAGTGGGCTGGTAAGGACGTGAGTGAGGGAGTGACGGCGAGTAGGCTGGTAAGCACGTGAGTGAGCGAGTGAGTAGAAGGGAAGGGGGGGGGAATACGGGGTAGACCAGTGTGAAAGTGAGTGATTAAATCGGGTGAGTTAGTTGGCGAGTGGGAAACTATCTGGAGGTGTATCGGTGAGAGAGCGACTGGTGAGTGAGTGAGGCAGCGGGATAGCAAGCGGCACAGCCGGCTGATAGGTTGAGCAAATGGGTGAATGAGAATCCAAGTAAGCAAGCAGAGCTAGTGAGTGGACAAGTGTAAGAGTGAGTGGACGAGAGCGAGTGGGCAAGTGTAAGAGTGAGTGGACGAGTGTAAGAGTGAGTGGACGAGAGTGAGTGGACAAGTGTGTAGAGTGAGCGCGACGGTGGGCTGGTCAGCAGGTGAATGCACAGTCTGGGGAGTGAGCGCACGAGCCGGTGAGTAAGCAAGGAGATTAGCAGAGGGGGTGGACAATCGAGCGAGCTCTGTAGTCGAGCGGACGTGCAAGAGGGTGAGCGAGCGCACCGGCGAGCCGGACCAGTGAGAGGTGAACGAGCGAGTGGGCGGCGGCGAGCGAGCACACCGAGGGCGAGCGAGCAGCTGAGCGGGGAGGGGGCGAGCAGGCGAGGGTGGACGAGCGAGCCGAGGGGGGTGCGAGGTGCCGGTAGGTGGGCGGGCGAGGGAGGGAGCGGACGAGGAGCCTCACAGATCCCACAGGAGGACGGTTCGCGAGCCCGAGGCGAGGCTGAGCGAGCAGCAGGCACATGGCGTGACGCCGGCCGCGTGCCGAACCACGAGTGAGGCGTCCACCCCGCAGCGAGAGAAATCGTCCGTGATGAAACTTGGGGGGGAGGGGGGGCAGGCGGGGAAGGGATCGGGCAATGGCCATTAATGGTGGAAACGTACGTCTGTGTTTACGTCTGTGTGTACGTATGTTGGACTTTTTTCACACCGTACAAAGCCAACCGTGCTAATCGGAGGTGCGCTGGAAGGAAAACAAACTGAACACAAAAATTGACCGCCGGTTGCGTGGATCAGCGGCTCATAATGGCCGGGTCCGAGCGTCGGCCCCGGACGGGACTTCCACTCGCCCACGGTGGAACCAGCTGCTCAGTATACAGCGCGGTTGGCAGTCCAGGCCCGTTCACCACGGTGACCCAGACGACGAACCCAGCTGGAACCTTGAGTGGAGGACAGATGGAGCGTGCCTTTGAAGGCTTCGCCATCCAACCGGCGGATCGAGGTACTCACTTTGCTTGCTGTGCCGGAGCGAGCAGCCTAACGGCCGTGTTGAATAGATCGTTGAAGGTTTTTAATTAATTCAAAAAGAAGTCTGATCTCTAAGTGTTTCCCAAAAGTAAAAAATAAAATGCTTCGCCCTCTGTTTGGACACCAACAAACACAATGATAGCGCAGTTGCTGAATAATGCCAAGGCCAAAAAAAAAACCTTTGAGGCAATGTGTTAAACACCCACGACAGATGCGGACGTGTGATCCACATGTTGTCCATGTCACAGCGCAGAACCAGTCGTGCTGAGCCCCTGGGTAGAATCTGGGTTTCAGCCACTGGTGGTGAAACCAGACCCTCAAGTGCAGTGAGTCGGCCGTCTCGGCCCAGTCACCAATGACTGCGCAATGCTTTTGATTTTTCACTCAACTGATCCTATTCTAGTTTTCAAGGCTTAAGTTATGGTAATAAAAAAGTCGTACAATGTATTACGGGTAACGTGTCTGACAATAGCCCCTCTTCAAGGCTATTGCCCGAAACGTTGCTGAGTGGATATATTGTTTCCCTTTTAAGGCCACAGCGTAGTTGACGAATGTTGGGAGTTGCCTGCAGGAGGCAGAAGGAGTGGCCCAAGAAAAGAAAATAGAGAAGGGAACGCACAAACTGCGCCACACAGATAGCCGTGCCGGAACGCTCCCTGTTTTTACTGTTCCCTCCTATGCACCACGTAATTGCCTGGACTCACAGTGCAGTAAACATGCATGCGACAGACAAATTGGCGCAGTAGTAACACAGTGGTACCACTCGCGGCTCACAGCCAGCTGTGCCTGGGTTCGATTCCTGACTCGGGTGCCTCTCTGCGTGGGGTCTGTATGTTTCCCCCTGCTCTGCAGAGTGTGAGCGGGAGTGCAGTGATTAGAATGCTGCGCTACGGACCCAGCGACCCAAGTTCGATTCTCGCTCACGGCCAAGACCAGTGACGATTATCTGAACCGGTCCTGGGCCTCCCCTAGGTCGACTCAGTCTCAAATGAGTACCTAGTGTGGTGTGTAAACATCAACACTGGGGAAACAAAGGCGGCCGGGCGTGGTGCTGGCCACCCACCCCCTCGTGTGCCATTCTGGACTTCATAGGTGCTCGCTAACAGCACTTGCCCCAACAGTATGCTAAGGCTATACGGGGGATCTTTGTCTTTGTGGAGTTTGTATGCTCTCCCCCTGTTCTGCAAAGGGGTTTTCCCCACGTTCCCCAGTCTCCTCCCACAGCAAATAAAAGATCCAATGTGGCCACTGTCGGCCACAACATCCCAATGCTGAAACATTTCCCGCAAATGACACCATTGGGATGACGCAGCAGCAGCATCGCCCCCTCTAACAAAAACTAGTGCCCCTGCTCTGGTGTTGCCCTGCTATTGCCTAGAGATGCTCTGATCTAGTCTTGCTGATAGCCCTATCTCAAGGTGCTGCTTCATACAGACGGTGCATTTGCTGTTGCCCGGTGTTTTTGTTGTGTAACTTCCATTCGGTATTACATTGTTCACGTTTCGTTCTTACAGATTTAGGAGTGGTATTGGTTGTTGGAGTACGGTCAAAGTGACAGTTGTACAAACATTATTAATACCGTGAGGTGGTCCACCCTAAACCGCATCCACTGCACAAACCATGTCAGTGGATGCGGATAGCTGATGATGCACAAATGGAAAATAAAAACCTCTCCAGCAGCGTGCGACTGTGGTCATCCAGAACAGAACGTAACGACGCAATGCCCCGATCCACAAATGCGGCGAGATCGCAGCGATACACTACACCGCTGCTCCTCACGTGGTTATTTGCCTGACCACCTGAATGTGAAATTGTAGTTCTTGCTCTGCATCTACATCAGCAGCCGTACGGAAGAAGAAGAGCAAAATAACGCACAAGAACAGGAGCGTAGTCATAGCAACGTAATGAAGGTAATGGCAACATGATGGGTCATGACGTTCACTGCGGCTTCCCTGGATAAATAAATGTAACAACAACAACGATAACAACACATATAACACAGTGACATGAAACAGTAACATCGCTATTAATATAGCACAATTAAGTACACGTAATAAATACGATTACAGTGTCCGAGCTGAGTTTTAACCGATGAACAAAGACAAAGACCCCCCGTACAGCCGTCAACAGACTGTTGGGGCAAGTGCTGTTAGCGAGTAGCACCTATGAAGGCTGGCAAGGCACACGTGGGTGGCCAGCACCACGTCCAGTCTGTCTCCCCAGTGGCGATATTTACACACCGCACCAGGTACTCGTTTTGAGGCTGAGTCGACCTATAAACACAACCTCATTTAAGCAACAATACTTCTGGTTCTTATGCTGAATTGTATCTACAGTATAAAAATATGGAGCCTATCGATAATCACAGCAAGAGGGCTGTAACAGAATGTGGCAGCAGGGCGCTGGTGCAGGTGCCGTGAGTTAAAGGAGGTTGTGATGAGTGGGGCACGTGGCATGACGACATTACCCGCTCAGGCGGTGCAGCAATCGGTGAGGTGGGGCCCCAATATTTGATTTGTCTCGCATGGTCACCAAATGTTACTGCTCTAATTAAACTAAAATAAAATGTGGAACGTAAATGATAGCATTTTCATGAAAAAAAATTTAAAAAGGTTTTTGTTCTTTAATACTTTTGAAAAAATATCTCAGGATGGTTGTTAATGGGGCCACAACTCGCAGCTTTGGCCACCACGGGAAGCCAAGGCACCCCGTGCCGTCACGTTAGTTAGGCTCCTGAGTGGGGCGCGTGAGCAGGGTGGAGGAACGGGAGCGTGGCCTCGTGAGAAGGGAACACGGAGGTGGGCGACCAAGGGGAAGGTCGAAAGTCAGATGGTGGGAGACGTTGGGGTATGGAGTCCCGGTGTCGACTTTGCAACAGCTGGCAGAGAGGAGTCCAATTCCTCCTCTTTACCACTGTGCAGCCGAGCCGGCTCGGCAAGGCTCAGGAGGTGCCAGTTGTTTTTCCACTGCACAAGCTGAGCCGTGCCGTTGATGTCACACGGAGAGTGGTGACGCGTGTGGATGACGTGGTGATGCCGTACTTACTGAAGTCACAACGCGGCATTAGACACCTTCATGCGAGGTCAGCATATCCACTGGTAATTATTTACTCAACTCAGCAAATAGCCAGTGGAAAGCCACCAGTAGTGTGGGGTTCCACACACTGTCTATATGTACGTTGAACTTCTTTTGCACCGTACGTAGCCAACCGTGCTAATCAGAGGTGTGATTGTGCCACCGGAAAAGGTGGCAAACGGCACTCACTGAGATGACCTCTTGACATGACCTCTAAGTCTCCAGCCAGGGTAACACTCCAAAATAGAGGCTTTTTTGAGTTAGATTGCGTATTTATAAATGAGACGTTAAACCCGCCACCCCCCAACACAGCCAATCAGTAAGGTTTGTGAACAAAATATGCCAATTAGTAACTAGTTCAGCATACCATGTGCTGAAGAGTAAACCCATAACATTTAAAATTCGAGTACGTTTCGCTGGTCATTACAACAACAACCAGCCTCACCAGCCGACAGCCGGAATTGGCCGTCGCCTGCCCACCGATCTGCTCGGCGGGGGCAGGCAGGAAGGCCGTGGGCGACAGGGAGAGCTGGGGTGGGGGGGGTTGCGTGGGTGTTTGCGGCGGTCGGTGCCGACCGGTTGCTGTGCAGGATGGTGCGGCTGCCCGTGCGCCGGTTCGCGATGACCACGGAGGAGGGCGGGGCGCGACAGTTCGCGTGCACGACCACGAGCCCCGCATCCACGCCGCTCGCCTGCAGCTCCTCCCGCACGAAGCTGCAACAAACGGCGGCGCTCGTGGGGATTCGATTGTTTCGTCCGCGACAACGGCCGCGAGCGACGGGAGCTGGACGGGAGCTCGCGCACGTCCCACGTGTAAACGATGCCAACCCCGGGTCTCGAGATGCGTTCCGCACCGTCGTGTTTGCTGAATCGTGGATACCAACGTGATGTCTGTCGCTCGTCATTGAAGAAAGTTTGGAATGGAACGTGGCAGGAAAGCGTTGTTGGTGACTCGAGTCCGGGGAGGCTGTAACGGGTGCGGTACAGCGAGCTCTCGGGTTTTTTAACTGCCCCGTCTCTCCACATGCCCACCCTTTTCTTCACCCAAACCCCTCCGGCCTGCTGAGTGAGCCGAGGGGTGCTCAGCAGGAATCTACGCTCAGCCAGAATTGTGTGGTCGGAATGTCATGATTGAGACAAACATTAGACCGTCTTGACTGAACTTCGAATCGACCAAATAGATATAAAATCGACATGTTTGGTAGGTTTTACGTCCTGCGGTGACCTACTGACATCACGACTGCTGTCAGCATGGGCCCAAGCTCTTGGTTGGCACTCTTCACCCTTCACCGAGCGTGCCCTCGCGGACACACACATAGCGTGACTACGGCACAGGCGTGCCACCGTGGGCCGGCGTGGTGATACGCGGGACCCCAGGGCAGCGCCGCCCCGGCTGAGCTTCAGTGCCCTTCGGAGCGGTCGTGGGAACAAGGCGTGCGTCACGAGCTGGGCAATCATAGCTTGACGATAGCAGAGCTGCGCCTTCGATAACTATCTCCACGCTTTCAATAATTATTGACGTTGTTTACATTATATTCATGCTGTTTTCTTTGTTTAACTCTGCCGTTAAATTCGTTGCACTAAAATGGCCTGCTTTCTTTGACGATGTATTTGGCGGTGCTGCTGCTGAATTGGCAGTTGGTGCACAAGCAGAGTTAACAAACAAAACTCAATAAAATCGTGAACAACACTGCCTACTTTGTGATGATTGAAGGGTTTATCTGTTACCCGAAAGCTACTATTCAGGTAAATAATCACTTGCCATTATAAAACAAAATTCGTTAATCGGAAAACGTTTTACAATGTCATTCTCAAACAATTGCAGTCTCCAACTCTCATCTCCTCCGTCTCGCTACCGGCCTCAATGTGTGCCATGAAGAAGGGCGCTGCCTATAACGTTACCCATTGGCGATGTTTATTGTTCTAAAGGCACTCACGGTGTCAATGACGGACGTGACAAGTTGGTTTGTTTAATGTTACAATGTGTGCCCGTGCATGATGTTACCTGCCGAGGAGTGACTGGCGGCACGACAAGCTGGGTGGCACTTATTATGTTTGCTGCCCACGAAGTCTGAATCTGAATTTGCTGCACTGAACCATGTCTGGTGTTCAGATCGATTGGTCTGATTCACGTCCCGTTCAGATTAATAATTCTAGTTCTAATCGCCTCTTACCTGGTCTTAAAATAAAGGACCTGTAAAATCAATACAGCACAGGGCTTTTATCATTCAGTCAAATGTCCTCCAGGAACTTCCTTAGTCAGCATAGCGTTGCATCATGGAAGTTGACTCCACAGAACTGCTTCTGAAATCACTTCAGCCAGTCTGTTACCCATCACTACCCGGCGCTCCTCACTGCGCAACGATTGGTTTATCACAAGTCGGGCATCTTGTAGGCATCGGAACCTTCGGTATTCGCTAGAGTAGTGTTTGTTTTTTTGAGTCTAACTTTGCGGGTGTCTTGACTAACATCACAGCAATCACTGGCACTGGATAAATAATAATAATGACGATAGTACAAACGATTATTTCTTCAGCCTGGTGTGCAGGAAGTCGTGGGTTCAATCCGCACCCTGACGCCTGTATATTTGGAGTTTGTATGTCTCTCTCCCCGTAGTTGAGTGTATTTTTCTCCAGGCCTTCCGGTTTTTCCTTCCATGCGTTTAGAGCATCTGGCTGTTATAAATGTTCACGTGATAAACAACTTCGTTGAGCTATCATTTGTGGCCAGGTCGCATCTGAAAAAGAGTTAAATAGCTCAGTGGACCTTACCTGGTAAAATAAAAATAGCTTAGTTTCATTAAAAAAAGTTTAGTTTAGTATACACGGCATGTTTTAAATGAGCAAAATAGTAACAATTACTTTGCATAGTCTTTCACGACCAATTCACAATAGGGGTCAGATTACATGAGTAAATCAGCACGTCTGTTCATGCTACAATTTTATTTATTTGGCCGTGTCGTCGAGTGGAGGAGGGTGTACGACACACATTGGCATTTCACTCAAGTAGAAATCTGGCGCCAAAAATAAATTGCGAATCGAAGTTAATGATCTCCGTAGGTCTTCTCATGCGCAAACAAGCACACTGGGTGGTTCCCATCGCAATTGCCCGTCCTGAGCCGGTGGTGTTCAAATTCCACGTCCCCGCGGGGACTCGAGCCAACTGCCGGTGACTCACCGCACAGAGGAGTTTAGCTGGTGGTGCTCATGAACTCATTAACTGGTGAAGAGTGGAAGAGTGGAGGCAACGCTGGCTAGGATTTGAACCATGTTTGAGCTGAGATCCCATGAGGGATTACTCAACTGGGATTATACACAGCGATCAAGCATAGCCTCGTACTGGCAGACTGATGCCCCACGCCACGTTTGCAACTCAGACTATCCTGGCCTCTTGAGCTCTCCCCTGGTTAAACAAAATTAACTTACCCACTTACTAAATCTCAGTCACCCACTCCATCACCACAGATTCATTTACCTACTCATTCACCCACGCACCCATTCTCTCACTAACTCGCTCGAGCAAATGCGACTCATCCTGCCCTCTTCAACTCTCACCTGGTTAACAGAATAAACTTGACTTAACCCTTTCCCATTCCGCAGAGTGGGTCCTGTTAACCGCTGAATCCCGGAATGCGCAAGCGGCTGGCATTAATTTTATTGAGAGGCGTAGCGCCATTGCACTCACCGCAGAGAACTGTAGCGACACGATCGCACACTATAATAGCCGGTGCAAAACTGTGCCACACGCCATCTCGCATGGCCTTGTGGGAGCCTCGGTACGTCTTCAGGTCAGAAGACGTCTTCAGGTCAGAAGACTTACCAATAAATAGTTTTTTTCTTCTGATTCAGTTCCGACGACGTACGTGCACGTCATCAATACTCGTACGTCGTCGGAATGGGAAAGGGTTAACTTGATCCCTATAGCGCTACCCAAACGCAGATTCTTGCCAAGATGCAGCTTGGTGGATAATTATGCGAATGATGATGATGATGATAATAATAATGTACATTTATTTCTCCAGGAAACCATCATGTCTGTTTAGATTCATAAATATAAACTCGTTCAAGCACATTTATCGTATGGTTAGCTGTTGGCACTAAAGTTGACATTCCTACTCTGCCGCAGTGGATCATGAACCCTCAAGACTTTATTATTCGAGCTGGTAAGGTCCCATTGAGCAACTCTGTTCCAAGCACAGCCACAGCCAAGCACCATCGGCAGTGGCGGCAGTTACAGGACGTCGCAGTTACATAGAGTTACACAGAGATCCATAGACTCAGGTTTTATTCAGCTGGTAAGGTCTCATTGCGCTAAGCCGCTGTTACAAGGACGACCACAGTCCAAGACGGTCGGCAGCGGCGTCAGCTGACCAGAGCAGAAAACAACTATTTACACAAAAACTCAACCCATCTCCTGACCTCCTAACGTTCACTCTGTTTAGGTAATGTTTGATGGTGTGGGTAAATCTACACCATCACATGTATGTATGCATGTTGAACTTCTCTCGCACCGTACGTAACCAACCGTGCTAATCGGAGGTGCTGCGTTGTCTGTCAGGGGACGTGGAATTGTTTAAAACTACTTCACTCTGTGCCCTGCTGCTGTCATTTCTTGCTCAGTGTCCAGGTTTCATGGCAATTTCACAATCGCTTAATTGTAGTGAGAGTGTTATTTTCCTTAGTTGTCTGCAGAAATCGCTAATTTTGCTAAAATGTTCGGATTAATGGCGTATGACCAAACAACCGTCAGACGTAAGAACCTAAGCAGGCCTGAGCCTGGATATCGCTTGCATGGGTGACCACCGCGCATTACACAGGTGCAGTCGTCAGCTGCTGCTGCTAGCGCACGTTGTCAGCAAAGGGCAGTGCAGTATAATTAATTGTTGTACTGTACCACGCTGCAACTTTTATGCTCCCCGCCTTCCCCAACTAGCGGATTTTCCCGCATATAACCCGCGGGGTAGACCACTTTATACAAACAAAACAAGACCCTGCCGGGTATATGGAAGTGCGGGCTATCCCAAAAATATTTTACACGTGTGACATGTCATAACTCGTTTAATTTTTTCATAGTAGGACTATCCACTATGCAACACTTACCTTTGACTAAAACACTGCTGAATAAACCACTCACACTAAGATTGCACACGTTACCACGTTTTAAATGATTAGAATTGTTTGTACAATGAAACTACAATGTTTGAAGTGGGCGCACTTTGTTTACCGGCGACGGGAGAGCTGGGAGAGAGAGGTGGGGGTTGGGGGTGGGGCAGCTGGGGGGAGAGAGAGGTGGGGGGGGGGCACTATTGTCTACCCAGTGCGCAATCTGCCAGTGCTAAAACTGTACTTACTTATCTGCCAGTTAAGTTACTTAATTATTGGATATTTATTTTTGTTACTTATTTACTGTTTTAAGTTCACTCGTTTCCGGTTAGTTTGTTTTCTTTGTGCACGTTGTGATTTTAATGTTAACAATTGATAGTGGAATGTATTTCAAATGTCAACTTCGTATTAATATGATGGAATTCAGCTGCGGTAACGACGTTAAAGATATGAATGCATGCGGGGTATATGGAGGTGCGGGCTATCTGAAATTAATTTTACACAAAACGCTATTTTTGCGGGTTATATGCGTATGCGGGTTATATGCGGGAAAATACGGTAACACCGACCAGCTTGGTGAATTATAGTCAATGAACCCTCACAGCTACGATGGCGTCGGGAGGCCCTCATGCAGCAGTGGCTGGCAAAAGGGATGTAAATGATTATCAATTATTTGGCTTTACGGATATAAATATTATTAAAATGACCTCACGGCGGCCTACCGAGCATTCCGCTCACTGGACCGCTCCGAAGATGCATCTGCAGGCCGCCATGCAACCTCCTCTCAGCGGCCGCGTCCTCCCGCACGCCGGCGAACTCGCCCCGGCAGCAAAAGCAGCTGTCGTGTGCCCTAATGCTCGGAGGCATCGGGGAGCTGAGGGAGTGGCTGGTGGTGGCGGTGGTGAGGTGTGGCGGTGTCTTACTCTGCGACTCTGCCTGCAGCCAGCGACCCCATGAAGGCGCACGGCACCCCGAGCTGGGACAGAACCGTGCAGGTGTTGGACGCATTCCCCCCTCGCTGCCAGCGCTGGGACACGCATCTGTGGGCATGCGGAAAAAGAGAGCGGGATTCGGCTGCCGCATCCGAAGAAGGCCAGCGGGGCCGGCAAATTACCCACCCACGATTCGGGGAGGAAGTGACGAAAAAAAAATAACAATACTTGTACAGGACTCTATCGAGGCCTTGAAATTGGAATGACACTTTAAATCCTTAACGACCCTACCCCTTTTTAACCCTTTTAAACCAACGCACGCACTACCATACGATAACCAAAAAAATATAATCCGCGCTATTTAAGGTTGCCGCGGTGGCCAGATGTTAGCTAGCTCGCCTGGTATACAGGAGGCCGTGGGTTCGATCCCGACCCTGATGCCTGTGGTATATTTGGAGTTTGCATGCTCTCCTCGTGGTCGCTTGGATTTTTCTCTGGATCCTCCGGTTTTTCCCTCCACATTTAGAAACATGCGTTTAGAGTATTTGTCTACTAAAAATTTCACATGATAAGCCACTTCGGTGAGCTATCATTTGTGGACAGTTCAGTGGGCATCATTACCTGGTGGTAAAATATTTTTTTTTTAGTTTATTTAAATACCACAGCATCCCTATTCCCTTCACATCGCAAGCTCATCTTAACCGCTCAAAGGGCACCCCCAGTGGCAGCTGTCCCTTGCAGCAACACCTGGCCTGCAAGTGTCCACGAGACTTTCCAGTCGGGGGGCGATAATTGCTGCGCAAAGCTTTTGTCAAAAGGGAAATAAAGAAGTGTGGCTTGAAAGGGCGGAGATGAAGATGCTTCGATGGACGTTTAGAATATCTCTTTAAGGGGAAGGAGGAGGAATGAAGAGGGTAGATGGAGCGAGGAAATCCTCTCGTAAGCGTCTAAATGCAATCTCGTCTGAAGTCGCTGCGCAAAAACAGTGCAACATGCATTGCGACAAGCAAACACGAATGAGGGAGAGCGGTAGCGCAGTGGTTAGTGCAGTGCTCTATGAACCCGGTGACCCGAGTCCGATTCCTGGCCACAGGAAGCCTTTTGTTGTTGTAAAGTTCTGATCTGCACCGACTGGTTATCTGTGAAAAGGAGCTTTATAGCTCATCGGATTCCTCCAGACGAAATAAATATTCAATAACACCAGTGGCGAGACTTGAAAATATAACAGGAGCAATGAGTAAATTGACAAGATGGATTGTGCAGCAGTAAAGAGTTCCTCATCATGCATTGAGAGTGAGAGGAAAGCTGAGACAAGGAGAGCCACAGGCGGCTGCAGACAACAGAAGAGGCTGCACAGCAGAAGGAGCAACTTCTCCTCCTCGTGTCGAGGTGCCTGGAGATGAAGAGGAGGAGGGGAGGGCGCAGCAGCGTGCTCTGCAGTGGAGGGAAGATATGAGATCAGAAACACGGTCGTGGTCGCTTCAGTCATCACTTCAGTAAAACGCACATTCCTCCACATCATTACATCCATTCTCACCAATTTAGACAAAATAATCACTTAGTGCGCGTGGTATTTGCGCCATCCTTACAGCGCAAGGCTATCATGAGGGGAGGCACAGTGTTTCAGTTTGTAGCAGTTTCAAAGTAAGCAGCGATATTGCTGTATAATCCCAACTGAGTCATTTGAGGTGGAAAAATAGACACATTTTTATCAATACACTCGCACACCATGGCCTACTTTTTTCGGATTACATCAGTGGACCTACAACGTCCGCTGAGCAGCAACACTACGCTAAGAATTATACGGTTAATTCACCGTGCAGTAATAACCAGGGCGTCCTGCCGGATTTGAACTCCAAACCTTTGCAACGTGGCCGCACGCGCTGGGGCATGCCGCGTGAACCGGTCAGAGGCGGAGCGGAAAACTCCCCAAGGAGCCACATTAATGCATTGTCCCTGGTAAATATGAATACAACACAAATAATAATCGGGGTCACGGAGGAAACTCTTTGAACATCAAAGGGATACGTGAGAGCAGTGACTCTTCTTCCCAACCCGGGGTGCACGCACCCTCTGGGGGTGCGAGATGACCGTTCTGGGGGTGCGAGACATGGCCAGATGTCTTTCGAAACTAAATAATCGAAACACAAATTAAGCACGGGCACGTCGGTACAACTACTTTGTTTCATCAAACCCTCTGCGTGTATTAAGATTATACATGTTTTTAATGATTGAGAACCAAAGGGGATGCAGGGCTGCAGTAAAGGTTCAAGAACCACTGCGTTCGAGTAATCCATAGCTGTCAACCCATGCGGTTTACCCGTATTGTTGTACAGGGAAATTGAGTTTTCAGGTCCATACGGTGTACAGCCATTTCAATACTCCCTTGTGATGGGACTTTGTAGGAGAACGTTGAGATTTATAAGGGCACGGGGTGACCAATAAGGTCTGGACTGGTCTGTAATAAGGTAGGGGGGCACTGATAAGGGGTTGACAGGTATGGTAATGAAACACGTTTTAAATAATCTTACGTGCTATGAAGGGCCATTGCCCGAAACGTCGACTTGTGATTTTCCCTTCCTTTGAAGGCCACACGCGCACACGCGGTGCTACTGAAGAACGCCCAGACTGTTATGGTAATTGTGCCGAGGCAATCACTGGCAGCACACGGGCACGGGGCGACGTCACAAGCCCGATGACGCGAAGCGCGTGGCCGGCGATGACGTCACCACACCCACTCGCCAGGCGCGCGGGTGACGTCATGTAATCGTCTCGAACGTGGGGGGCGCGGCAATGACGTCATGTAGCAACGTTGACTTGGTGCGATGACGTCACGTGTTGTTTACGTCCTCGAGGGTGGGAAGTGAGGGTCAAATTGCCTGTTGACCGCTTGTGTTGCGATCGAAACGTCGTAGTTTTTTTGTTTGAACCTATCTCCGTGACTTTATCGAAAGACCCAAAGAATATGTACAGTGCTGTTGCTCAATTCAATGCTGACAAGTGTAAAAACGAGTTACCCCATGCTCTTGTATGAAGTTGCAACCATTGCAGCACAAGTGCACACAAGCAGCGCATTTGTGCGGGGAAGTCAACGGCGGTTCTTGTCCACTGGTATATAATTGACTCAAGAAGGAGCCACGGTCACACCAACAGACGTGGTGGTCTGAAGCGATGTAAACTTGCACGCGGGGGGGGGGGGGGGTCCTGGTCCAAGCAAAGACGTCGCCAAGAGCGAGCGAGCCACAAGGCGACCATCACGCGCAGCCCTCGCAGCTGTCGGGGCAATTGTTGTCAGCGAGCACCTATTGAGGGCCGCGCACCCCCCACTACGGCACCACCAGCACCACCAGCACCACTACGGCACCACCAGCACCACACGGCACCACCAGCACCACACGGCACCACCAGCACCACTACGGCACCACCAGCACCACACGGCACCAGCAGCAGCACACGGCGCCACGCGGCTCATCGACTATCGCTTCGTGACGTTCTTTGTCCAGGACCACCGTCTCGACTCGCGTGCTTCGCGGCGCTGGACATATTAGTTGTTTATTTTAGCCGAATTATAATAAGAATAACAACGTCTCCCGTTGCTGATGTTGCCCGCCCCTGCTGCTGACACGACGCGCTCGGGGTGACGGGGCGAGCGAGCGGTGAGCACCTCGTGTCCGTGTCCTCCTCGGGGTACGAGTCGACCACGCTGATGATGTCCAGGCACACGAGTCCCACGCACAGCACCCGGCCGCGAGGAGACATCCTCCTCCTGCTCCCAACACCGGCCACGCCGCTGGTGGACACTGCGGTCCGGGTCGAAGGCTGCGTGCAGCCAGCCGCGTGGCGAGCGGGCAGGGGGCAGGGGGCGCCTTGCACGCACTGTACGTGTGCACGCACTGTATGTGTATGTACTGTACGTGTGCACGCACTGTACGTGTGTGTGTTGAACTTCTTTCGCACCGTACGTGCCGATCGGAGGTGCGGGGGAAGGACAACAAACTCAAGACGAACAGCAGTTCTAAAGAAACAAGTTTGTTAATCCAGGTGATTTAAAAGCGCATCGCCTTCAGTGGCTTCCCAATATCGGAAGGGAAGAGCGTTCCAGACGGCCGCAGGAGCGCATCTGAAAGCGGTGACCACCACCGCCTTTGTTCGATGGCTGCAGCCAGAAGCTGCTGCTGCTGCTGTTACTGTGAGGATGCAGGGAGCTGCTGCTGCTGTTACTGTGAGGATGCAGGGAGCTGCTGCTGCTGTTACTGTGAGGATGCAGGGAGCTGCTGCTGCTGTTACTGTGAGGATGCAGGGAGCTGCTGCTGCTGTTACTGTGAGGATGCAGGGAGCTGCTGCTGCTGTTACTGTTACTGTGAGGATGCAGGGAGCTGCTGCTGCTGTGATGATGCAGGGAGCTGCTGCTGCTGTTACTGTGAGGATGCAGGGAGCTGCTGCTGCTGTTACTGTGAGGATGCAGGGAGCTGCTGCTGCTGTTACTGTTACTGTGAGGATGCAGGGAGCTGCTGCTGCTGTTACTGTGAGGATGCAGGGAGCTGCTGCTGCTGTTACTGTGAGGATGCAGGGAGCTGCTGCTGCTGTTACTGTGAGGATGCAGGGAGCTGCTGCTGCTGTTACTGTTACTGTGAGGATGCAGGGAGCTGCTGCTGCTGTTACTGTGAGGATGCAGGGAGCTGCTGCTGCTGCTACTGTGAGGATGCAGGGAGCTGCTGCTACTATGAGGATGCAGGGAGCTGCTGCTGCTGTTACTGTGAGGATGCAGGGAGCTGCTGCTGCTGTTACTGTTACTGTGAGGATGCAGGGAGCTGCTGCTGCTGTTACTGTGAGGATGCAGGGAGCTGCTGCTGCTGTTACTGTGAGGATGCAGGGAGCTGCTGCTGCTGTGATGATGCAGGGAGCTGCTGCTGCTGTTACTGTGAGGATGCAGGGAGCTGCTGCTGCTGCTACTGTGAGGATGCAGGGAGCTGCTGCTGCTGCTGTTACTGTGAGGATGCAGGGAGCTGCTGCTGCTGCTACTGTGAGGATGCAGGGAGCTGCTGCTGCTGTTACTGTGAGGATGCAGGGAGCTGCTGCTACTGTGAGGATGCAGGGAGCTGCTGCTGCTGTTACTGTGAGGATGCAGGGAGCTGCTGCTGCTGTGATGATGCAGGGAGCTGCTGCTGCTGTTACTGTGAGGATGCAGGGAGCTGCTGCTGCTGCTACTGTGAGGATGCAGGGAGCTGCTGCTGCTGTTACTGTGAGGATGCAGGGAGCTGCTGCTACTGTGAGGATGCAGGGAGCTGCTGCTGCTGTGAGGATGCAGGGAGCTGCTGCTGCTGCTACTGTGAGGATGCAGGGAGCTGCTGCTGCTGTTACTGTGAGGATGCAGGGAGCTGCTGCTACTGTGAGGATGCAGGGAGCTGCTGCTGCTGTTACTGTGAGGATGCAGGGAGCTGCTGCTGCTGTTACTGTGAGGATGCAGGGAGCTGCTGCTGCTGTTACTGTGAGGATGCAGGGAGCTGCTGCTGCTGTGAGGATGCAGGGAGCTGCTGCTGCTGTTACTGTGAGGATGCAGGGAGCTGCTGCTGCTGTTACTGTGAGGATGCAGGGAGCTGCTGCTGCTACTGTGAGGATGCAGGGAGCTGCTGCTGCTGTGAGGATGCAGGGAGCTGCTGCTGCTGTACTGTGAGGATGCAGGGAGCTGCTGTGCTGTTACTGTGAGGATGCAGGGAGCTGCTGCTGCTGCTACTGTGAGGATGCAGGGAGCTGCTGCTGCTGTGAGGATGCAGGGAGCTGCTGCTGCTGCTGCTACTGTGAGGATGCAGGGAGCTGCTGCTACTGTGAGGATGCAGGGAGCTGCTGCTGCTGTGCTACTGTGAGGATGCAGGAGCTTGCTGATGCTGTGAGGATGCAGGGAGCTGCTGCTGCTGTGAGGATGCAGGGAGCTGCTGCTGCTGTGAGGATGCAGGGAGCTGCTGCTGCTGCTGCTACTGTGAGGATGCAGGGAGCTGCTGCTACTGTGAGGATGCAGGGAGCTGCTGCTGCTGTGAGGATGCAGGGAGCTGCTGCTGCTGCTGTGAGGATGCAGGGAGCTGCTGCTGCTGCTGCTGTGAGGATGCAGGGAGCTGCTGTGAGGATGCAGGGAGCTGCTGCTGCTGCTGCTACTGCGAGGATGCAGGGAGCTGCTGCTGCTGTTACTGTTACTGTGAGGATGCAGGGAGCTGCTGCTGCTGTTACTGTGAGGATGCAGGGAGCTGCTGCTGCTGTTACTGTGAGGATGCAGGGAGCTGCTGCTGCTGTTACTGTGAGGATGCAGGGAGCTGCTGCTGCTGTTACTGTTACTGTGAGGATGCAGGGAGCTGCTGCTGCTGGTGCTGTGAGGATGCAGGGAGCTGCTGCTGCTGCTACTGTGAGGATGCAGGGAGCTGCTGCTGCTGTGAGGATGCAGGGAGCTGCTGCTGCTGTTACTGTGAGGATGCAGGGAGCTGCTGCTGCTGTGATGATGCAGGGAGCTGCTGCTGCTGTTACTGTGAGGATGCAGGGAGCTGCTGCTGCTGCTACTGTGAGGATGCAGGGAGCTGCTGCTGCTGTTACTGTGAGGATGCAGGGAGCTGCTGCTACTGTGAGGATGCAGGGAGCTGCTGCTGCTGTGAGGATGCAGGGAGCTGCTGCTGCTGCTACTGTGAGGATGCAGGGAGCTGCTGCTGCTGTTACTGTGAGGATGCAGGGAGCTGCTGCTACTGTGAGGATGCAGGGAGCTGCTGCTGCTGTTACTGTGAGGATGCAGGGAGCTGCTGCTGCTGTTACTGTGAGGATGCAGGGAGCTGCTGCTGCTGTTACTGTGAGGATGCAGGGAGCTGCTGCTGCTGTGAGGATGCAGGGAGCTGCTGCTGCTGTTACTGTGAGGATGCAGGGAGCTGCTGCTGCTGTGAGGATGCAGGGAGCTGCTGCTGCTGCTGTGAGGATGCAGGGAGCTGCTGCTGCTGTTACTGTGAGGATGCAGGGAGCTGCTGCTGCTGCTACTGTGAGGATGCAGGGAGCTGCTGCTGCTGTGAGGATGCAGGGAGCTGCTGCTGCTACTGTGAGGATGCAGGGAGCTGCTGCTGCTGTGAGGATGCAGGGAGCTGCTGCTGCTGCTGCTACTGTGAGGATGCAGGGAGCTGCTGCTACTGTGAGGATGCAGGGAGCTGCTGCTGCTGCTGCTACTGTGAGGATGCAGGGAGCTGCTGCTGCTGTGAGGATGCAGGGAGCTGCTGCTGCTGCTGCTACTGTGAGGATTGCAGGGAGCTGCTGCTACTGTGAGGATGCAGGGAGCTGCTGCTGCTGCTGCTACTGTGAGGATGCAGGGAGCTGCTGCTACTGTGAGGATGCAGGGAGCTGCTGCTACTGTGAGGATGCAGGGAGCTGCTGCTGCTGTGAGGATGCAGGGAGCTGCTGCTGCTGCTGCTACTGTGAGGATGCAGGGAGCTGCTGCTGCTGTGAGGATGCAGGGAGCTGCTGCTGCTGCTGTGAGGATGCAGGGAGCTGCTGCTGCTGCTGCTGTGAGGATGCAGGGAGCTGCTGCTGCTGCTACTGCGAGGATGCAGGGACTGCTGCTGCTGTTACTGTTACTGTGAGGATGCAGGGAGCTGCTGCTGCTGTTACTGTGAGGATGCAGGAGCTGCTGCTGCTGTTACTGTGAGGATGCAGGGAGCTGCTGCTGCTGTTACTGTGAGGATGCAGGGAGCTGCTGCTGCTGTTACTGTTACTGTGAGGATGCAGGGAGCTGCTGCTGCTGGTGCTGTGAGGATGCAGGGAGCTGCTGCTGCTGCTACTGTGAGGATGCAGGGAGCTGCTGCTGCTGTGAGATGCAGGGAGCTGCTGCTGCTGCTGCTGTGAGGATGCAGGGAGCTGCTGCTGCTGCTGCTACTGTGAGGATGCAGGGAGCTGCTGCTGCTGCTGTGAGGATGCAGGGAGCTGCTGCTGCTGCTGCTACTGTGAGGATGCAGGAGCTGCTGCTGCTACTGTGAGGATGCAGGGAGCTGCTGCTGCTGTGAGGATGCAGGGAGCTGCTGCTGCGCCTGTGAGGATGCAGGGAGCTGCTGCTGCTGTGAGGATGCAGGGAGCTGCTGCTGCTGTGAGGATGCAGGGAGCTGCTGCTGCTGTGAGGATGCAGGGAGCTGCTGCTGCTGTGAGGATGCAGGGAGCTGCTGCTGCTGCTGTGAGGATGCAGGGAGCTGCTGCTGCTGTGAGGATGCAGGGAGCTGCTGCTGCTGTGAGGATGCAGGGAGCTGCTGCTACTGTGAGGATGCAGGGAGCTGCTGCTGCTGTGAGGATGCAGGGAGCTGCTGCTGCTGCTGTGAGGATGCAGGGAGCTGCTGCTGCTGTGAGGATGCAGGGAGCTGCTGCTGCTGCTGTGAGGATGCAGGGAGCTGCTGCTGCTACGTGAGGATGCAGGGAGCTGCTGCTGCTGCTGTGAGGATGCAGGGAGCTGCTGCTACTGTGAGGATGCAGGGAGCTGCTGCTGCTGTGAGGATGCAGGGAGCTGCTGCTGTTGTGAGGATGCAGGGAGCTGCTGCTGCTGTTGTACTGTGAGGATGCAGGGAGCTGCTGCTGCTGCTATGAGGATGCAGGGAGCTGCTGCTGCTGTGAGGATGCAGGGAGCTGCTGCTGCTGTGAGGATGCAGGGAGCTGCTGCTGCTGTGAGGATGCAGGGAGCTGCTGCTGCTACTGTGAGGATGCAGGGAGCTGCTGCTGCTGCTGTGAGGATGCAGGGAGCTGCTGCTACTGTGAGGATGCAGGGAGCTGCTGCTGCTGCTGCTGTGAGGATGCAGGGAGCTGCTGCTGTTGTGAGGATGCAGGGAGCTGCTGCTGCTGTTGTTACTGTGAGGATGCAGGGAGCTGCTGCTGCTGCTATGAGGATGCAGGGAGCTGCTGCTGCTGCTGCTGTGAGGATGCAGGGAGCTGCTGCTGCTGCTACTGTGAGGATGCAGGGAGCTGCTGCTGCTGCTGCTGTGAGGATGCAGGGAGCTGCTGCTGCTGCTACTGTGAGGATGCAGGGAGCTGCTGCTGCTGCTGCTGTTACTGTGAGGATGCAGGGAGCTGCTGCTGCTGTGAGGATGCAGGGAGCTGCTGCTGTTACTGTGAGGATGCAGGGAGCTGCTGCTGCTGTTACTGTGAGGATGCAGGGAGCTGCTGCTGCTGCTGCTGCTGTGAGGATGCAGGGAGCTGCTGCTGCTGCTACTGTGAGGATGCAGGGAGCTGCTGCTGCTGCTGCTGCTACTGTGAGGATGCAGGGAGCTGCTGCTGCTGCTGCTGTGAGGATGCAGGGAGCTGCTGCTGCTGCTGCTACTGTGAGGATGCAGGGAGCTGCTGCTGCTGCTACTGTGAGGATGCAGGGAGCTGCTGCTGCTGCTGTGAGGATGCAGGGAGCTGCTGCTGCTGTTACTGTGAGGATGCAGGGAGCTGCTGCTGCTGTACTGTGAGGATGCAGGGAGCTGCTGCTGCTGTACTGTGAGGATGCAGGGAGCTGCTGCTGCTGCTACTGTGAGGATGCAGGGAGCTGCTGCTGCTGTTACTGTGAGGATGCAGGGAGCTGCTGCTGCTGTGAGGATGCAGGGAGCTGCTGCTGCTGCTGCTGTTACTGTGAGGATGCAGGGAGCTGCTGCTGCTGCTGCTGTTACTGCGAGGATGATGCAGGGAGCTGCTGCTGCTGCTGTTACTGCGAGGATGATGCAGGGAGCTGCTGCTGCTGTTACTGCGAGGATGACCGGAGTTGACATGACGACGGTTGTGCTCCTAGACGAGAGGAACGTAACCCCCCCCCCCCCCCTGACAACCACCACGAGATTTGTTTTCAACAAAAGTGTAAAACAACAAAAACTGATTTAAAACGCGGTTTAAGTTTATATTTTCATAAAATTGCTTTCATTTACGTTCCACGTTTCATTTTTATCTCGCGAGAGCAGTAAAGGAGCAGCGCAGAGGGGTAGCGCGGAGCGGTAGAGGTCGCATCTGAGCGATGACGGAGCGCCCCGCACCGCCATGGGAACCTCATATGGCAGCAGCAAAACATGATAATTGGTTTTTTACCCTTTTATCTGGCAACAAAACTGACACCTTTTTTAACAAGGAGTCATGCTTGCATTGACCACAATACCTGCGATCGGAACGCCTTTTGGCGTCATCTGGTCCAACACCATGTGAGACTAGGCTCTAAGGAAAGCTGTCTCGGGTGTGGACCAATCAATTTCAAGGACAGTGCATATCCATGATCAGACTTAATTTTGGAGCTTTCGTGACTGCAGGAATTATTCTTTGGTTTTTTCGGTAAAGTCACGTATAAAAATAAAATAATAAATTAAATAATAGCATACGACGTTTCGATTGCAACACAAGCAATCATCATCAGGTATAATGAAATAGCGACATAGAATATATGTATCTTGGTGATATCTGTCTGCTTATATGTCTGTCTATAGTTTTCTGGTTATATTCTATGTCGCTATTTCATTATACCTGATGATGATTGCTTGTGTTGCAATCGAAACGTCGTATGCTATTATTTAATTTATTATTTTATTTTTATACGTGACTTTACCGAAAAAACCAAAGAATAATTCCATGATCAGAGTTGTGTGTTTTGTTTGTTCGCCCCTGCACCGCTAAATGTTGGACACCGTGAGCGCATCGACGTCGCTTGCAGCACCCCCTGAGCTCATGACGCCGTGACTCAGCCGCTGATGTCGCGCTGTCTGACACGTGGACCAATATCATCCACAATACAGGTTTGTTGGGGTCTTAGATCGCGTATGTGTGCCTTTGCTGTGTCTCGCTACACCAAAATAACGACCTGCAAAAATAAAAATGCACACGCATGGATTCCTCCTACTCAGCACGTTACCACGTGCGTTTCTCTTCGGAAGCGCTGTATTGAATGACCTGTGCTCATCCTAGGTTCGCTTGTGTATGTATACTGAACTTCTTTCGCACCGTACTTAGCCAATCAACAATATTTATAAAAACCGATGTCACCTCTCTGCGGTACCTTAGAATTTGATTTAAAGGTCCAAGGATCATATTCACAGAGGACCCCTCGAGAATCGATTCCCCGTTCGCGCGACCGGAATCGACGAGGAATCGACGAGGAATCACCTGCGCGATTGGCTGCCGCCCGACAAATGGGACGCGCCGCTCTTCCGTCACGTGGGCTAGAGGGGGCGGGGCTGTGCCGCCAGCCAGCCAATGGGGAGCCTCCTATGGAGCCCGTGTGAGGAGGAGGAGGAGGGGCTACCTGCGTTGCCGTAGAGGCGGCCCCGAGTGGAGGCCTTCGAGAGGCGGCCCCGAGTGGAGGCCTTTGAGAAGGCGGCCCTCTCTTGCTCCCCCCCCCCCCCCGTTACCCCCTACCCCGACACCGCACTCGGGGTGATTTCTCGTTCGCGAGTCGCGGGGCCTCTCCCGCACCCGTGTCGCCTGCGGGGACGGCGCGCCTAGGATGAGCGCAGGTGAGCGCTCGCTGCTTGCCGCCGCGCGCACCCCGCGTTGCCTGCGGGCTTTGGCGCCCGATCAACGGCAGAGCTCCCAGGCGAGGCGGGGGGGCTGCGTTCCTGAGCAAGGCCCGAGTGGAGTTTACACGGAAATTGGTGAGGTTACCACCTACCAGTGGTAACGGTGAGGTTACCACCTACCGGTGGTGACGGTGAGGTCAACGCTTAACAGGGGTAACAGTGACGTTCGTACTCACCAGTGGTAGCGGTGAGGTCATCACCGACCAGTGGTGACGGTGAGGTTATCATCTACCAGTGTTGACGGTGAGGTTAATTGTTACCAAGGGTAACTGACCAGTGGGAACAGTGAGTTTAACACGTACCAGTTATAACGGGCTATCGTTTACCACTAACCTTGGAAACGACGAAGTTACCACTTATAAGGGGTAACTTTGGGGTTATCACTTACCAGGGATAATAGTGAGGTTACCACTTACCATGGGTAGCAGTGAGGTTACCGCTTATCAGGGGTAACGGTGAGTTTAACAGGGGTAACTTACCAACACGGTGGGGTTACACTTAACACTGATATCTGATTAACGCGGATAACACTGCTGATAGCAAGGATAATACTAAGGTTAACAAATCACTCGTGCCAACATGGATAACACTGAGGTTCTTAACATGCCGAACACTGATGTTAACGCTAATACAGTATTCCTGTTGCAGTGCTCAATGTGGTCTTACTCTCATTCTCTCATCTTCCGTGTTGCGTTGCCCGTGAAGATTTAAAGCGGCTCATGTCGCTTTGTAGAATCGCACGACGAAGTAACTGTGTATGGTGTGTGCGATGCCTCATCAACATCAAAGTGACCTTTGACCTTTTACCTCCATCTGTGTATGGTTGTTTTTGTACAATTTAGTGTCTAAATTATACAGGTTTTGCTATACATGCCAGTGTTTGCATCGCTTCTATTATCCCAGCCATACCATAAGTATTTCGATTTAAAGCTTTCGTGACTGCTGTCTCCCCGACAGACCTGGTCTTCACCTGAGGACGGCTGCTTGCGTTGTGGCCGAAACGTCGTGAGAATTATTTTATTATGTTTTATTTTTATTATTTTATTACTTCCCTTCTACGTGACTTTACCGAAAGAACCAAGAAGATACCATAAGTACATTGAGTTGCGAGCGCTCTCACCGTGGTGAACTCTGGCGTGTTGCGTTGGGTCGTCATTGTCTATGATAGTAGAGACCTGCTTATTCTGAGCTGCACTAATCTTCTGATCCCATTGTAAGGCACGGCCGGTGTCCAAGACTTCTGCCGATAGGATATACACCATTGCATTGGTTAACGCTGTACTTAGCATGGTATATATTTACAACGCCACAGTATTGATTAACACAAGACTTAGCGAATATGAGCTATATGTGTATTCTGTCAGCACCTTGAAAATACAATGTTTACGATTCAGAAGACATCTACGATATGAGGCTAAGTGTCCTTTTAGGTAACCCGCAACAAATATTGCCTCCCGTTGTCACTTTGGGGAATGGCGCTGTAAGAGACGGAGGAGAAATCACGTAGTGCGGTTTAGTTGTACACGTGATAGGCCTCGTGTCAATACAAGCACAGTACTGTGTACAAGCCAGACCTTCTTTACACTCTGAAGTGTGTGGGTCGGTGATTGCATGCTTCTCTAAACCAATGTCCAGTTTAATAACTTCCCAGTGCTCGGACAGACGTGGATGCTGCATGTGCAAAAAACTAAATAAATGTGTCACAGACTGGGTCCGAAATAATCGTACTTAGTACGCCCAGTTACCTCGCTTAATCCGCTCACGTGGCTGGTGGTGTCTGACTGTGCCGTATGGCATCCTCATTTACAAAACATGCGACACCCACCCCCTGTCCGTGTTCCCACTACATTCTTGTGGTTTATAGCGCGTAAACTTTAGACAAAGCAGCACAATTCATTCGCTTTCCCTCAGCGCTGCCGTTAATGTCCAATTCGTTCCCTGCTGCAGCGTGCTGATTTTGTTGTTATGATTTGTTTGTTAACATGATTTCGTTAATTTGTGGATTTTCTTTTTAAATCGCAGGGAATATTTTTGGCACATTTTGCAACACTAGCTGTAGTACATTGTTTTGCTTTGATTAATCTGAACAGCTTAGTGCTAAACTAAACCATTCACGCATTGCCAGATAATTATGTGATTAGTGCAGTATGGCAGTCCATTGAGATCCATTATCTCATTTTCGAGGCAAGCTGTGTAACGCCGGTATTGCCACGTAGGGACTGCCACTGTCATCTCGTTGGAGTAATATTAACATGTTTTCTTTGACACTGGCACGTGATGGTCCACATTTGTAAATTATTGCAAAGGGCCTTTGTTTTCTCCAGAGTACATTTCTCACATGGGTATTTTTTGTTACAAATTACCAGAATGTATGCTGGAATAGAACTGTCAACACAAGTGCACATGTACTGCATTTAGACTTACGGACATTTTAAGTAAGAAACATGAATAAGATAACAGATAGACCCGAAGAACAGCATAAGAGGAGGAGTAATATCCCCTTAATACGGACATTAGTGGCAATGAAAGGCAGGAGGAGTGGTGAGACAATGAAAAACGGTGGTGGAAGTGAGATCAGATAGGAGAGCAGGAGAAAGGTCACAAACTATTTTGAAGGGGATAATGAAACATTGTCGAGCTGAAGCACACGCGTTGAAGGATGATATGTGGGTGTGACGCGGTTCGCTTTGTGAGCTCGCATGATGAGCCAAGTAGCATCGTGCTTCACTGTCGGTAGTCGGAATTGTTAAGGGTGGGTGAGTATACCTCTGGGTGGCTGCATGAGCATTTGAGGTGTGTGCAGTCGGCTGTAGGACACACATGGCTGTGTAAAGTTCTTCGGAATACTAATTCGTAATCCCAACACTGGGCTGCCTGCAGCCAGTGGTATAGGTCGATGGGAAAGAGCTCCTCGACTTATGGTGGGTGCTTTAGATTTTTACTGCGGCTGTCAAAGTTCCGCATTCAAAGGTTGTGAACCATTAACCTAAAGTGTATAAGTAGAGTTAATGCAAGATGAAGTACTTGGCTTCAATGTATGTGCTGTAAATATTAGTTACTTCCTTAGAGTGCTTTGGTCATTTGTATAAAACACCTGAAGTGATGTTTCCTCTCACTTGTCTGTGCTTTAAATTCCGTGTATTTTAGCCACTGGGCTCCTGATTGTAATGTCCCAAATTCAACCCCAAGTCATGGTCTACTCGGTACACACTCACCAATATGCCCAGGCTGGTGTATAACAATAATTGCTTATTTACCTGGCCAAGCCAGACTGAGTCCAGAGACAATTTTTAAGGAAGGTCCTGCAATGGGATGTTTGGCTAACAACGATAAGTTGGTATAACGAACATCACTTGGTGCGGCTGGACTGCTTGATGGGAAGTAAACGGGTAGACTTGGCTCCACAGTAGAAACACGGCGATTGCACATTAAAGGTGCGCGTTTCGTGCATGCTGCGCCACAGTGCAGTGGTGCTGCACATGGTTTCAGTGTGTGAGTGGCGAGCTGCTGCTGCAAACAGGCTGTGCAGGTAAACGTGTCGGTTATAGAGCTTATGCCTTGGGGGCAATTATGCGCGCTAACCAGTCCACCCAGGCTCACGTGCGCATGCATTTCCTAGTTTCCCGGTGTGCGAACATCACGGCCTGGTGCAGCCACACTTTCTTTATATTTTATTCCAGCACCTAAGCCCGCTCTCATCGGATCTCGGAAGCTTAGCAGGTTTGAGTCTAGATGGTGCATTGATGAGTGACCACCACCATGCACAAACAGGTCGCCATAGTGCTCTGTAGGCCTCCGTGGTGGGAAGCAGTGCAGCAAAGTGGATTGTTGTATTGCACTTTGTTCCCACGTTTTTGCTCCGCGTCTTTACCAACCCCCCACGTCGTGAAGTATGGTCAAGTAACCCTCACGACCTGTTTGGCGTGGGGATGCCCCAAATCCATGTGTGGCTTGACAAAGGATGTACGTTCATGTATTCTCAAAATACAGAGACAGGGCAACAACACAATGGATGAGGAAGGAAAAATGCAAGGTGCCAGGGTAAATGGAATTGTCATTTTCCCACGCAAACAACAGAGATGGCTGACATCTGTAGCCTGGATTAAAACAGTGGGAGTCAGAAATGCACAGACAAGTTTAGAAGCCATATCACATTGTAAGGCACAGCATGGGAGAACAAGGGACTTCCTGTATGGATTTCCTTGGAGAGAAGACAGTTATTACTCATATTTGAATATACAATAAACATTTCATGTTCTAAGATTGGTAATGTTTAGCAGGGCGGTGGGGGTAGCGGCACATGCCTATCATTTAGCACTGTAGAGGCGAGGGTTAGTGGATCACGCAGTGTGCAACACCCTTCCCGTGGGCATCGGGGTGCCATGCCCAGCATATCTGCACCCAACCTTTTAGAGTTTAGAGTTGTACGGGATAGAGTGTTGCTCCCTCGCACATGTGGGTTTTCTCTGGGTACTCTAGTTACCTCCTGCATGTAAACAGTTATTCATTGGCCAATGACACCTTCAAGTATAGAGAGGACCACAAAGCTTTTGAGGCAATTTGGTGTCGGCTCCCCGCGTGGCTGCTTTCCCACCCGTCTGTGGTTCCTCCTCACGCCTCTGAGTTGTCCTCTCTTTCCAAAGTGAGGAGTGAATGTTGTATATGTATGTTGAACGTGTTTCGCACCGTACGTAGCCAACCGTGCTATTTTGAGGTGCGGGGGAAAGGACAACAATCTAAGCAGAAAAAGCAGTTCTAAAGAAATTAGTTTTCAATCTAGATTTAAAAGTGCATAGCTCCAGTGGTTTCTTAATAGCGGCGGCAGTGCATTACAAGGTCACATTAAAATAATATTAAGACACGCGGGTATGACTGACTTACTGCAAATTCAAATGTTAATGTTTTGTGACTTGTGAACTGGTGACGTTTGCAGTTGTTGGAGATAGCATGGTTCAACATTAAGCTCATGAAAGTTTATTTCGGTAAAGTCACGGAGGTATAAAATAAAATAAATCACGACGTTTCAGGCGCAACACAAGCGTCCGTCATCAGGTGGGAAAGCATGGTCTGCTGCTGAGGCAGACTGTTTTAAAAGGTTTGAAATGGGTGTAGCCCAAGGGTCATGAAGAAGTGGCCGGGGCTAGTGATGTTAATGTGAGAAATTAGCATGTAACTATAAGATAGGAGAGCGGCCTCCTCGACGAGGGCACGGAAGTGGCTATGTTGATGTGAGAGATTAGCATGATGTTAATGTGAGATTAGCATGTTAACGTAAAATCGAAGAGTGGTGCAATCCAAAGGCATGATTGCAACCCAAAGGGTGCAATCCAAAGGGCATGTGAGTACGAGAGTGAAATCCAAAGGACATGTGAGCATGAGAGTGCAATCCAAAGGACATGTGAGCATGAGAGTGCAATCCAAAGGCATGAGAGTGCAATGCAAAGGACATGTGAGCATGAGAGATCTAAGAGAGAGGCATAGAGAGAGAGACACAGAGAGTCGGAAATAACAGCTGACATAGGCAGGTAGGATGGAAACATCACCTGTCAGTTAAGACTTTACCTGGTTAATAACGTCCTTCCAATGATTACTCAGTTTGTACTCATCCTCTCGGTTGAAGTGGTGTCTGTGTTTATATATCTGGATGGCTTCATGAGCAAATCTCTGAAGGTAGCCGGTAGATTTGCAGAGTACCTCCGTCTTGGAAAAATATATTTCGTGTGAGCCCACAGTGTTAAAACAATGACCGGCAACGGCAGAGAAATTGGTCCTACTGTGTTTCAGATCCTCAGAAGGTTGTCTCCGCATGGCTGGGTAGACGGCTTTGCGGATTGTACGGGGGAAATTCGGTCTACAGGAAAGCCACCCACACGGATGCCTATCTAAAAAGCCTGACTCCCACCACCATCCAGCCCAGAAGAATTCCCTCATCAAAACACTACACCATAGGGCCCGTTGCATCTCCGACCAGCACCACTTAGCCAGTGACTTGGAGTACATACACCAAGCCCTCAGGATGAAGGGATACTTGGACCATACAATCCGCAAAGCTGTCTCCCCAGCCATGCTGAGACAACCTTCTGAGGATCCAACCAAAACCATCACTTTATCGTACATAGCAGGGGTTACCAAAATTATTTCCAAAATCTTAAACAAACACAAGATCCAGGTTCGTTTCAACACAGTACACAACATCCGTGATTTAATCCCATCTGTAAAGGATGTGATTCCTGACATGCAATACCCTGGTATCTACAAACTGAGTTGTGGTTGTGGCAGCAGTTACATTGGGGAAACGAAACAACATGTCTCGGACCGCATTCATGAACACAAGGCGGATTTGAAACACGGTAGGACCAATACTTCTGCCGTTGCCGATCATTGTTTTAACGCTGTGGGCTCACACGAAATAGATTTTTCTAAGATGGAGGTTCTCTGCAAACCTACCGGCTACTTTCAGAGATTTGTTCATGAAGGCATCCAGATATATAAAAACAGACACAACTTCAACCGAGAGGATGGGGTACCAACTGAGCAATCATTGGAAGGACATTATTAACCAGGTAAAGTCTTAACCGATGGTGATGTTTCCATCCTACCTGCCTATGTCAGCTGTTATTTCCGACTCTCCGTGTCTCTCTCTATGCCTCTCTCTTAGATCTCTCATGCTCACATGTCCTTTGCATTGCACTCTCATGCCTTTGGATTGCACTTTCATGCTCACATGCTCTTTGCATTGCACTCTCATGCTCACATGTCTTTTGGATTGCACCCTTTGGGTTGCACTCATGCCTTTGGATTGCACCAATCTTAGATTTTACACTAACATGCTAATCTCTCACATTAACATAGCCACTTCTGTGACCCTCGTCGAGGAGGTCGCTCTCCTATCTTACAGTTACATGCTAATTTCCCACATTAACATCACTAGCCCCGGCCACTTCTTTATAACCCTTGGGCTACACCCATTTCAAACCTTTGAAAACAGTCTGCCTCAGCAGCAGCAGACCATGCTTTCCCAGCTGATGACGGACGCTTGTGTTGCGCCCGAAACGTCGTGATTTATTTTATTTTTTACCTACGTGACTTTACCGAAAGAACCAAAGAGTATGGATTCCTGCAGTCACGAAAGCTTCAAATCAAGATTGAACTCATGAAAGTTAAACTGTGTTCTCACTTAATGTAACTGGCTTGTTGTGTTTTGCTTGTCCGTTTCTTTAGTTGGCATGTGGCCAGCTTGAAAAGACTTTGCTTAAGTAATTTGTTTGAAACATTCAAGGGCTTGAAAAAAAACGGGGTCACGTTGTTGTCGTTAGTGCTCTAGCCATCCGTAAATTTTCGACTTTTTTACTTTAACGCGGCAGTATGAGTTTGGTAAAGCGTTAGTTTTTTCCCTGAGTCAGCTGATGGTTTATGGTTTGTGATATTTGCTTTCATTATCCTCCTTTCAACACGTATCCTTGCGGATATTGAGTTGGTTGCTGAGATGGAAGTTTTCAAAGCTTTCACGGTGGCAGTCACACTTGAACATGGTAATGATGGAACAGTTTGGATCAGGGTTAACGATTGGTGTGATTTATTTGAAAATAAACCATTTTTATTTCTTTACTGGGGGATGTTTATGTTTATTTTGCATTTAGTTTTTACCAGTGGCATCCAAATTGTTTGGCCAGCGTCTAGGCACAGAGCAGAGCATATTCAGGGTATATCCAGAGCAACCTAAAGAAAACCCTCCCCGTGATCACGTGGATATTTCTACGGGTCCTTTGATTTTTCCCTCTACATTTAGAAACATGCGTTTAGAGTACAGTATTTGGTTGCAATACATTTCCACGTGATAAGGCACTTAGTTGAGTTATCATTTGTGGCCAGGTCGCTTCTGAAAAAGAGCTACATAGCTCGATGGGCCTTACCTGGTAAAATAAAAATAGTTTCGTTTATAGGTTTAGTTTATACGGGAACAGTTATTTTTCAGTTTTCTCAAATCACACCCTCTCAATTTGTTACATTTGGTTTGACAGTCAACATTTGAGTGTCGTTCTAGCCTTTTAATATTTCCAAGTGCTCACGATCCCCTCCCCTTCTCTGCATCTGTGCCTCTACACTGTGATTCTGTGTATTGACTAATGCATTCCTCAACTCAGTCGAGTGCCGGTAAATATTGGGAGATCATTAAGCTAAAAACATTGGGATACTTGTTGATTCCATTCGTGTGCTTTTTTAAAGCAGTTGAGTACCCAATCAGATTGTCTGTTTTTTAATTGCAAAAAAACTTCAGTTACTTCGAGGCAGCGATACATTTAAAAAATAAAGTTACGGGTCAACTTCACGTTTGAGATTAGCTCCGAAACTAATATTGATTTACCCGCTATAGTTTGCAGGAATCATAAAAGCTTCCACTCACAACAGAATACACCTCTCACCACAGCTGATAACTTTTGGCAAACTTTCACAAGCCATATATATGGGAGACTTGTGCTGCGAGCACCCACGATTGTCGTCAAGTCGAAAGTCACAGTGTGACTTCCTGCTCAAACGAGTGTGTCACCCGCTGCTCGTAGTTGCATGCTCGCTTGCAACGACGAGAAGCGGGTGACACATCGCAACGTGCGGGCCATGCCGTGGCCGCTTGCCGTGCCACATTAGCTTGCATATCCACAGCGTGGAATTTACTCTTGTGCACATTGTTGTTTGTCTAAATCTTTCTGCCGCTGTCACGGTGAAATTACTCGGATGTCTCGGGTATACAGCAATAGAACCGGTACTGGAAAACCGGTCTCTTCAGGGCAAAATTGTCTTGAAGGAAACAAGTTGGGTCAGTGGCAAGGGCCGGCGGCCACTTCCAGGCTTCCCGGCCGAGTCGCGCCACTTCTGTCACTTTGATGTTTATGGCACCGAGTGAAGGCCCAAGCCAAGTGCAGCTTCACGCTGCGGTGACAGTCTCCCAGCCTTCCGTTCCCCCCCCCCCACTCCCGGCCCTCCCCTCCTTTCCCTCCTGCACCGCTGTGTTCATGTCGGGGCGTTTCTTTTACTTTCTGATTTTTGATTATTGCTCATACCGGACGGAACTGTGATGTTGTTAAAACTTACGTCTGTAACGGCTTTCTGGCACTGTACGTGCAACACGCGGCTTTTTTAGACCTTTACACTCGGGCAAATTCCTTCCCGGTGTGGCCTCACCGACTGATGGGATAAGTGCTGTTAGTAAGCACACTTTAATGTCGGCATGTAAAGCAGTTGGTACGAGCAGTCGTGTGCAGGCCACGCGCAGCCACCTTTGTCCATTGACAATGCAACATATCACGCGTTTTACGCAGAATCAAGCTAAACGGGTTCACCGTCCTGATGCAGATCGATACCTGATGTCACCGGCATTGTATGCGGCCGGAAGCATATCATTGTCATCACTTATTACCACTTCTCTGCTTACTTCCCTATTACATGGACGGGTCGATAAAGACACTAGAATTGACAAGTTTAAAGCAATCTATAGATGCGGACCAACACATTACAAGCTGACAGTCTTTCCTCACTGCCTGTCTGACAGGGAGATGGATAGGGAGGCGCACTCCGAACTGTCTTCTGTTGAAACACTCAGCTTCCTCATCAGTACTTTCTTTTTATGCTGAGCATGTTAATCGGCGTCGTGTCCAGGGAAGAAGGACGTCCATTCACAACTTTTTCCAATGGCAGTGCAACACCCTGTGTTGTTATGTTCCACGGTAATACCAACTTGTGCGGTTGTGGGTAGTGCGGTTGTGCTGAGAGCACGCCAACGCGTGTTTACATTGGCATGCGTGGGCCTTGCTAACGGAGCGGTTGTTGTGTGGTGTTGCGTTGTCTGGCTGTGACTCTGGTGGTTGTGGCAGGCGGTCGCCGCTCGTGAGGATGGAGAGTTTTTTCCAGGCGGCTGCGTGCGCTCTGGACAAAGTCCTCGACGACTTTGAGCAGACAGAGGGTGAGCGGAGCGCGCGTGGCACACAGCCACCAACACAACCGCCATGAGCAACACAAACTAACAAGCAACACAAACAAACCAGCAACACAAATTAACCAGCAACAGAAACGAACCACCAACACAAACCAACCAGCAACACAACCCCAACCAGCAACACAAACCAACCAGCAACACAAACCAACCACCAACACAAACCAACCACCAACACAAACCAACCACCAACACAAACCAACCAGCAACACAAACCAACCACCAACACAAACCAACCACCAACACAAACCAACCACCAACACAAACCAACCACCAACACAAACCAACCAGCAACACAAACCAACCACCAACACAAACCAACCACCAACACAAACCAACCAGCAACACAAACCAACCACCAACACAAACCAACCACCAACACAAACCAACCAGCAACACAAACCAACCACCAACACAAACCAACCAGCAACACAAACCAACCACCAACACAAACCAACCACCAACACAAACCAACCACCAACACAAACCAACCACCAACACAAACCAACCACCAACACAAACCAACCAGCAACACAAACCAACCACCAACACAAACCAACCACCAACACAAACCAACCAGCAACACAAACCAACCACAACACAAACCAACCACCAACACAAACCAACCAACACAAACCAACCAGCAACACAAACCAACCAGCAACACAAACCAACCACCAACACAAACCAACCAGCAACACAAACCAACCAGCAACACAAACCAACCAGCAACACAAACCAACCACCAACACAAACCAACCAGCAACACAAACCAACCAGCAACACAAACCAACCACCAACACAAACCAACCAGCAACACAAACCAACCACCAACACAAACCAACCAGCAACACAAACCAACCAGCAACACAAACCAACCACCAACACAAACCAACCACCAACACAAACCAACCACCAACACAAACCAACCACCAACACAAACCAACCACCAACACAAACAAACCACCAACACAAACCAACCAGCAACACAAACCAACCAGCAACACAAACCAACCACCAACACAAACCAACCAGCAACACAAACCAACCAGCAACACAAACCAACCAGCAACACAAACCAACCACCAACACAAACCCAACAACCAACACAACCCCAACCACCAACACAAACCAAACAGCAACACAAACCAAACAACAACACAAACCAACCTCCAACACAAACCAAACAGCAACACAAACCAACCTGCAACACAACCAGACCAATAGGCAATAAAACCACCAACACAGTACAACCACCAACATAAATCAACCAGGAACACAAACCACCAACAATACAACCAGAAACGAAACCGACAAACGCACAACACGAGCATCCTCCAATGCCGTGTATACATAGCGGCAGTTACCACACGGAAAATCTGGGCGCAGGGCGGGTATGAAATTAACCGCTGTTGCGTTTGCTTGTCGCAGATGACGTGGATTATTTTGGGCTCGTGCCCGCCGCCCGCGGCTCCGAGATGTTCTCGAGCCAGGACGGCACCCGGCGTGCCGGACTCGCTGCCCCAGAGCCGCTGCCACCGCCACCATGCCCGCTGCCCGTTGGCACGGACGTGCTCTCGGAGAAGCGCTCCTCTCTGTCCGCGCTGATCTCGCCTCCGTTGGCGCCGTTGGTGGATGGGCGGGGCGGTGAGCGCGATCGCCCCTTCCTGAGCTTGCCCTCGAACTTCATTGCGGAGAAACCGGGGTCGCCGCCTTCCCAATCGTTTTCGTCGTCGGCGTCTTCGGTGGAATCGCCTCTTCCTTCGCCGTCTTTCCCCATGCACCCACCCGCCGCCGCCCCCGGTTCGCCGGCGTCGCCACCGGAAAATCTGCCTTCAACGTCGCCGCCGTCGCGGGTGGCATCTCCGTGGGCCTCCCTACCCACCGACGATGCTCGCGGTACCGCTTCGATCGATCCTTTTGCGACAACGCGTCGCTCGGACCTTGCCGACGCTCTCGACGTGGGCCTCGTCTCCCCGGCCGTGACCTCGTCGGACGAGACCGTGACGCCGTCGTCCCCGCGCTCGTCGCAACAGCCGCAGTTCACGCGACATTTTGAGGCGGCGCGGCTGCAAGATTGTTTGGCTGCCGGCGGCGGAGAAGATGAAAGTGCGGCGCACAATGCGTATCGGCCACCGCTGGTGACGTTCGACCTCCTGTCGGCGGGCCCCGGTGCCGAGACGCTGGCCCCGCAGCGCGGGCCGCCGCTCTGCGACCTGCTGTCGGGGACGCACGACAACGAGCAGCGGCCGCGCGACGCCATCGCGGCGGATACGTCTCCTGCGAGCGACGTGGACCGAACGCCGTTCAGAGGAGGCCGGGCGGAGGGCGGGGAAACGAACGGGGATGGAAGCTGCTCGATGAGCGTGGGAGGTGAGCGGCTTGCTGTGGTGTGCGTGGCGGATGAACCACGGTCACCTGACCGGGACCTCTCGGACGAGACGTGGCGGAACTCGGGCTCGGCGGCTGAAATGTCGTCGGAAAACGACGCGAGCGCGATGTTCGAGGCGGAAAGCGCGCGAGCCGATGCGTCCCGGGACGACTCTCCGGAGCCACCCCTCTCCGCAGAGGCTCTTGCTGCAACCGGAGTGGAAATGTTTGCAGAGGGCGGTGAGTTTGACGACGCTGATAGGAGTTGCGGCGAGGGCGAGAATAGCGGTGGCGGTGTTGCCATCGATCAGCCAACAGCGCTGGACGATTGCCGTCGGGGGATGGACTCGGAGGCGAGCGAACCCTCAAGCGAGCCGCCCGCCGGGGACTCCCTGCGGCACTGGCCGCCCATCCCCGGAGACGGCGCCGATGTCGTCCGACCGCCGCTCTATCGCGGCGCCGAGCAGGAGGTGCTGCCCTCGCTCGTCAACGAAGAGGAGGTCTCTACACCCACCCTCGGCACCGAGGAGCCGAAGAAGGTGCGGGAGGAGTTTCTGGAGGAGTTGGAGGAGCGAGAGGAGGAGCCGGGAGCAAGCGTCACGGTGAAGGAGGAGGAGGGCACTGCCCCGCGAACTAATGGAGCTGCGGACGTGTCGGAGAGCGATGCCGAGCTGGAGGCCTTCCTGAGCTCGCTCGAGGCCAGCGCTGACTCCCCCCCGGCTTCCCCGGCCCCCTCCCTCAAGGAGGACCGCGTGACCGAGGAGAAGGAGGTGGAGGACAGCAAGTCGGACACGAGCGGCGACAGCGTTTCCCCGCTGCGCGGTCAGTCCTCCTCCTTTCTCTCCCTCTCTCTGTCGCCGCTTTGTTTTTTCATTCAAAGGCAAACAAGTCTTCACCACCGTAACCACGAACCAACGTACATGTACTACATTCCCATGTCAGAGACCAGTTGTCTCCGTAGAACAACCACCGTGAGCTCACCACAAAGTTGTATTACCAAAGAGGGATGGTGGATTTAGTCAACCCCCGATTGGTGCTTCTAACCACGGCACCACACCACGATGTAAAGGAATCGTTATAAAAAAATACCTTAATCTGTGTGTCTCAAAAACCTCTACTTCCCATTGTTTCTTTATTGTTTGTGAGATATTTCAGATTCAAGCGGTTTTGAACGAAAAAATACGAATTTTATGATGTTCAAATCCGAATTATTTAACAACTATAGAGATAGGAGCTTCCTCTCATAGAGTATTAAGTTAATACATTTTTGTTATTTCTCATTGAAAAATTGATGAAATCTTTAAATTGAGCGGTGTCTGATGGGTACGTCTTAAAATATAAAAAGTAGAATGAAGTCGTTTGTGGAAAAATAATTTTTTTTGGAGTAGTTAGTGTCTGATCTTAACTAAAAATTAAAATCTTAGCTAAAAAAAAGCCACAGGTGAATTATTATATATTGAAAACTTTTGCCTAGCGTAGACAGGCTTCATGAACTAGTGTTAAATAAAGGCCTGTAATTTCAGATTAACCAGTTTCGTCTTGTCATCTGTGCCGTTTGATCTGGTCACCACATTTGAGGAATGTCCTTTTGGCGTTCATAGCTGACGGAGAACAGCCTAAAGGGACCACACCACAGAAACCTCGATTGGAGTCGCTCCAGTAGCCCAGCCACCACAGGCTGCACTTCTATGTATTTGGCTTACCAGCTAATTGAGTTTATCACTGAACTGAGCCATGCCCAGTGCTGGGTAGAGACGTCTATTGAATTCACTCGAGTGTAGCTCTGTGGTGTCATCATGCAGGGCCACTCCCTGAAGTGACGCGAGGTTCTGCTGATGGTGGTGGTTCTGAAAGGACGTTTCTTTACGTTGCGCGATGACTCTGATGTCGGGTGATAAAATCCACATAATACAAAGACTGAAAAGTAATAAAACTCGCAGCTCGACCGTTATTCAGATGTCGAGAGCAAGTGCTGCTTCTGTACTCGTATCCACGTCCTCGGGGTGGTCGTGTATTTTGAAGGCGGCGGAGCTGACTCCGGCTCCCCTGCCATGGCGCCTCTGCTGCCTCGTCACGCGGCGCCAGCGCACAACGGCACCGATACGCCGGGGGCTGCACGGCCCCCGCCGGGCGGCGCTCGCCCCAAGCAGCCGCTCCGCCTGCAGCTGCCGCGGCCGGCGAGCAACCTCCTGGGCAGCCGCGAGGAGGCCGACGGGCGCGAGCCACCCGAGGCCCACGCGGCGCCCTCCTCCGCCACGGAGAACCACGTGACGGCAATGGCGCCGGCCGGGGAGGGGGAGGACGATGAGGACGAGGAGACGACGCAGGAAGAGGAGGAGGAAGAGGAGCGGGCGTGGTCGCACGGCCCCGGCGGTGCCAGCAGGGCCCGGGCGGGAGGGGAGCGCCCGGCGGGGGGCACCCAGGGAAGGGAGGGCCCCGGGATGAGCGCTCCCATGTGGGTGCCCGACGCCGAGGCGCCCAACTGCATGCGGTGCACGACACGGTTCACCTTCACGCGCCGACGACACCACTGCCGCGCGTGTGGCAAGGTGAGGGCACGGACGCGTTCTTGCCTTTCTGCGCTGCCGTTTGTGAATTTTTGGTTTGCGTCGTTTTAACGGAAGGTGGGACAGAAGAGAGAACGGTTGGGTGCTATCTTTTCAATGCTTTCCAGCTGAAGATGAAAGCGTTTGTGCATTAGGTCCGTTTGTCCGTAACGGGTGGGCATTGCAAGCTCACTCTCGTGACGACGATCCAAAATAAACCAACCTGTGGTGTAGAGTCTTGCTGCTGCCCTTAGAGACTTGTTCCATTTACAACCGTCCACGTTCATCACAGGGCTTCACAAAAACTTGCAAGACATATCCCACAGAGAAGAAAGGACAAGTTGCAAATATGCAAAAACATTTTCCGCTGACACATAGCATGCTGCCCTCGTACCCTGAGTAATCATAATCAGTTCTTTTACTGCTGTATTACATAGACCCATTCATTCAAAACATAGGCTTTAGTGTTTAGTGACAGGTGTTTGAAGCAGATATTTTGTACCCTCACAAAGCAAAGAGGTGTCTGACCTCTGAGATTCGTTGCTTGTGGGAGACGAGAGACATTATTATTATTCTGCTCGTTTAGCGAGGAAAGCCTCGTGATTCTCGTGACCCTTTTTCAGGAGGGTCCTGCCGAGCTTTTTGTTTCGCAGTTGGGGGCCATCGTTTCTGTGCGGGGATCCCAATTTGGTCATTTGCAGGTAATGTTTTGTCGTCCTCTCGGGCTGACGTACCACCACAAGACACACGTCATCGTAACAGAATCAAAAGTAAGGGGCCATGGGGGAGGGCGTGTGGCACATTTTGGCGCCAGCTATCGTAGAGTGCAGTCATGTTGCGACGGTTCTCTGCGGTGAGTACAATATCTTTAAAAACAGTGGCGCTACACCTTTCTAAATTAAATATACGCTGTCCGCTTGCGCTGTCCAAGATTCAACGGTGAACGGGACCCACCCTAGAAGTTGCAGATGTCTCGTAATCGGAAAGGATTAACAGTCGATGTGATGCCTGTACTTTGCGTTGGTGTAACTTCCAGCATGTACATCTCCCCTCCATTTTTCTTTTGTGTACTTGGCAGTTCCTCCTGCACTTTCTTTGCCGGTCATCACGTTTCTGATCTCGGTCGTAGCAGGCAATAAGCGATGTTGGAAAACGTTCTGTTGCTGACCCATCGATGCGTCTCTAGCTACTCGGCACCGAATGTAATTTCCTGAAATCGCTCTATCCTGCTCGCACTCCTCTCTTTATTTCAACATTTGGATCCCAGTCTGCATTCAATAACACTGTGTAACAAAAAAAAATTGTTCCTGGGTAGTTAGTGTTATTTTCTAATTGCTTATGCCTCAAAAGTACAGAAAGTGGCTATTATTCACCACAAACTTTGCTTTTGTGACCAGGACAGTGATCTTTTGAAATGTACCTATTTTCAATAAGAAAGCGTGTGCATGTGTCATTCCATCACATAAAGTCACAAAAGCAAAGTTTGTGGGGAATAATATCCTATTTTCTTTACTTTTGAGGCATAAGCAATTAGAAAATAACACTCACTATCTAGGAACTAAAATCGTGTTACATAGTGTAATTACCCGAGGTTTATGTACTCAGGATTCACAAAAGGCTTCTTGCTAGGTTTGTGTATTCTTGGGATGTCCAGTAGCATTGCTTCAGTAATAGCTATTATTGTTGTTGTTTTGTTCAATGAACTTGCTGTCCGCAACTTTCGGCTCGTGTATCTGTCGTCCATGTGTGCACCTTCTTTCTCTAGATCCTCAATCGTTTCCTGTCGATCATTTTCTATTGGTTGATAAGACGACCGTCGTTGGCAAATATTAAATGGTTTACACTTCACGCACATTTGCGCTGTTATGTCTCCAACCACGAATCCCAGAGATTGTCTTCTAGCATTGCTATGAGTAGCCTTGGTGAGAGAGAGTGTCTCTCAGTGTCTCTCGGTGTCTGACGTCCCCTTATTATTTGTATAGTGTTGTTTTCTCCAGGTTATCTTGTGCAACTGTTCCATCATAAATGGTTTTGATTAGTCTCTTATATTCTTCTTCTTTATCAAGGTTTTGAGTTGGTGACAGCATGGCTTACTGCTTCTGTTTCTAATTAATCGGGGTAAAAGGTGCAGGGGTGATCGGGTGGGTGGTACATTTGGCTGAGGAATTAGTAACAGAAGAGGAGAGTTTCTTTTCGAGTTTGCAGCCCGATGAGATTTGAGGATAAAGGGGGTATTCTTTTTTAAATCTATCTGCTACTGGGTGCCCCATTTAATTATAAACTGTGTAAGTTCCACATGTCTACCATTGTTATCATTGTGCTTATGTGATCGGGTTATCCATTGATGCTGAGGTTTGTTTCAGATGTGTGAAGTTTATTTTAAACTTGGACAGTGGCTTGGTAACACAGCCACGAGCAATGAGTTAACGACTTGAATTAGCTTAATTAAAGTCCTCGGCTCTCTGCCTTAAGCTACGTGAACCACATGTCAAAATGATTTGTGCCCTTTTGCATGGAGATATTAGAAAGGTCACAGACTTGATTCTCACCCCCCCCCCCCACCCCAATTTTGAGAAATAAGAATCAGTTTTACCCTTTTTGGCAATACAACAGGAGGCATTAAGATGTTCAAACACCAAACAGATCCCTTCTTCAAGGAATCAAGTCTGCATTAACCACACACACTTGTTATGAACACATATTCTCTGATAATTATGCATATATTATACAGTATATTATATATTATAACTAGCTTTACTACCCGGCCTCGCCCGGGACTTGGATTCTTGTCTTGGATTAATACACGGCCTACGCGGAGGGTGGGGGGGTGACGTCAGCAGGCACACTGCGTGACGCTGCCGCATGCGGGTGACATCACAGATATGACGTCACCGCTCACTTGCCGTGCAAAATATATCCATTACTAGCGGAAGTACCCGGCTTTGCCCGGGTGAAAAATATCTTTCTTAAAAACCTTACATATATATACACAGATACTAAGGTATTGTCAAAGCCCGGTGGGCTGTTTGTACATTTTTCCACCAACAAATATATAAGAGGCTTTCACAAGTCCAAAAAGTTGTAGAAAGTGTGGGGTAAATAGTTGATGTCAAAATGTTTCCGAAAATTGTGGTCTCCCCCCCCCCCCTCAAAAAATATCTTTACCTCTCGTAGGTATATATACTAACAACACCTTACATACAACAGAGGAAGTGGTATCTATTGACTCTGTAGTAGTATCTACTGACTGTACCGTAGTATCTACTGAGCCAGTAGTAGCTACTGACTGTGTAGTAGTATTTAGTGACTGTAATAACTACTGACCATAGTAGTATTTACTGGGCCTACAGTAGTATCTACCGACTATATACTCGTAACGACTAACTGTATAGTATCTGCTGACTCTATAGTGTATCCACTGACTATAGTAGTAACTACAAAATCTATAGCAGTATCTACTCACTCTATAATAGTATCTACTGACTCTAGTAGCTACTCACCGTAGCAATATGTACTGACTGTATAGTAGTATTGACTGACTGTAGTGGTATATACTGACTGTTTTAGTATTTACTATAGCGGTATCTACCAACTCGATAGCAGTATCTACTATCGCTACAGCAGTGTATACCGACTGAGGTCGTACCTGCTATCACTACAGCAGTGCATACTGCTGTGTTGGTACCTGTTATGATGACAGCAGTGCATACTGACTGTGGTGGTACCTGCTATGATTACAGCAGTGCATACTGCTGTGGTGGTATCTGCTATGATGAGAGGAGTACATATTGTGGTGGTGGTACCTGGTATGATAACAGCAGTGCATATTGACTGTACTCATCATTCACCCTCACCATTCACCACTCACAACTCACCCTTACCACTCATCCTCACCACTCACCACTCCCACTCACTATTCACCATTCACCCTCACAACTCACCACTCACCAACCTCCCTCACCAATCTCCCTCACCACTCACCCTCACTACTCACCCTCACCACTCACCAATCACCACTCACCCTCACCACTCACTCTCACCACTAACCCTCACCACTAACCCTCACCACTCTCACTCACCACTCTCCCTCACCACTCACTCTCACCATTCACCCTCACCATTCAGCCTCACCACTCACCCTCACCACTCACCCTCACCACTCACCGTCACAACCACCACTCACCCTCACCACTCAACTTCACCCTCACTACTCACCATTCATCCTCACCAATCACCATTGACCAATCACCACTGACCACTCTCCACTAACCCTCACCACTCAACCTCACCACTCACCCTCAAAACTAACCACTCTCTCACCACTCACCCTCACCACTCAGCACTCACCCTCACCACTCACCTCACCCCTCACCCTCACCACTCACCCTCACCGCTCACCACTCACCCATCACCACTCACAACCGCCACTCACCCTCACCACTCATCCTCACCACTCACCCTCACAACAACCACTCACCCTCACCACTCACCCTGACCACTCATCCTCACCAATCACACCCTCACCAATCACCACTCACCCGCACTGCTCACCCTCACCACTCACGCTCACCCTCACCACTCACCCCTCACTAATCACCACTCATAACCGCCACTCACCCTCACCACTCACCACTCACCCTCAACACTCACCCTCACCACTCACCGTGACCACTCACCCTCACTACTCACCACTCATCCTCACCAATCACACCCTCAACAATCACCACTCACCCTCACAACTCACCCTCACCACTCACTCTCACCACTCACCCCTCACAACAACCACTCACCCTCACCGCTCAGCACTCACCCTCACCAATCACCACTCACGCTGACCACTCACCACTCATCCTCACCAATCACATCCTCACCAATCACCACTCACCCTCACTGCTCACCCTCACCGCTCACCCTCACCACTCACCACTCACGCTCACCCTCACCACTCACCCCTCACTAATCACCACTCACAACCGCCACTCACCCTCACCACTAACCCTCAC